AAAATAAAATTACATTAAATCGACCTTAAGCTTAATTTTTTTATTTATATTTTTTTCTTCATATCATTTATTATTTTGTTAACCTTCCTATGGTCTCTCTCTCTCTCTCTCTCTCTCCCTCTCTCTCTTTCTCGCTCTTTCTCTCTTTCTCTTTAATCTCTCCTCTCAAAGGGGGTGTAGTAATCATCGTGATTCCTATGGTATCATTAGTTTATTACTGATCTACCTCATAGGTGATTTCCCAATTACCTATGAGGTAGAGTCTGGAAGTTTTTGAACAAACTTTTGTTTGAGCCTTATAAATTTTTTCTGGTCATTTTGCAATAAAAGACATGAGAGCACTATTATAGAGGGTTTTCAACGAATAATTTTTACTGCAAATGTGTTTTATTTCATGAATTTCTTTCGGTTTTATAGCATTCCGAAGTTGACCGGATTCATGAGTACTCATAAAAATATGATAAAAATGAATAATTCCACTTAGTTTCCTGTTATATATTTTTTTATTCACATCTTTCGGAATCAATTTATCATTTTCTTAACAGTTCTATGTTATTATTATTTTATTATCGACCTTTTTTGCCAACAAAAAACTTTCTCCGTCACGAAAAAGCAGAAATTTTACAGAAACACCCTTCACATTCGCTAGCCGAACAACAATATTTCTCAGTGAGAAGGCCCAGCTATCTTTGCTCACTGTCGTTGGCGAATATTTTTTTGTCTCTTTATATAATGGAAAGAAAGATGATTCTCTGAAAGCATGAGATACAAACGATTTGCCGAGACCAAAATAACCAAAGTGATCAAAAATGTATTTAACTTATCATTGATTCCGCCTCACAAGATACAGCACGTTTCGAAAGTCTTAGAATTTATCAGCAGAAAACACTGCGATCCTGAAGATTGGGGCTAAAAAAACGTAAAAAAATTTGGATACCAATCAAAACTTTCAAAACTCCAGCTCCCTTGAACTTCTAAAATAAATTTTCTGCAGATGCAAGGCAAACTGTGAAAGTATGTGTGGTTGCCAAAACGCAGACCTCAAATGCTCTAAAGTGTGCCTTAATTGTTCTGGTGAAACCTGCAGTAATATCATGGAAATATCAAAATTAATTAAAAGTTTCTAAGAATTTGAAAATGAATTACCCACAATTACGCCAATTCTAACTCTACTGAATTAGGAACACAGCCTCGACTATCAAAGAAAAGTAACAAACAGTAGCTGGAAAACAACTTCTTAAATATATAGTTATGCTCAATATTCTCTCACTTAGAAATTGTTTGTGGATTAAGCCTAATGGGAATAACACTTAAACGCGCCTTCAAACTTTACTTCATAGATGGTCGGGAAAAAGTAGATAATAAACAAATAATCACAAAACAATGTTAACAAAATAATAAATTGTATAAATAAAAAAATATAAATACTTATACTAGAAAACTAAGCCTAATCGTTTTTATCGTATTCTTACGAGTATTCAAGAACATTGGAGTTCTGTAAAATCCAAAGAAATCAATGAAATTAAACAAATTTGTAGTAAAAATTATTCTTTGAAAAACCCCCTATAATATTGATTGAATGTAATTTTATTGTAAAATGACCAGAAAAAAGTTAAAAGATGGTGACCGGGGGACAAGAATGGCGACCCTACAAACTTAAACTTAAGTTTATATTCCACATTATTACACTCCACACATCAAAAAAGATAATTGCATCCTCTTAAAAATGTAATATTAATGTAACTTTTCAATTAACTATAATGACTTCTTCCTCTTTTTTTTATATAGGCAAATTGCCCGTTTTCTTCCTATTCGTGTGGATAATTTCGTTTTATCTCTCTCTTTCCAGGGCTAATCTAACTATGACATTATCTACCATTCTGCTAATATAACAGATTCATTTTCTTTTTCTTTCCTGTACCAATTAAATAATATTGTTTATTCTGCATAGTTTCTTATGTCATTGCTTTTTGTTCTGTTTAATAAGTCTTTTTCTGGTTATTCTTCTTCGTGTTCTCATCTCATTTGTCTTCAAATATCTATGCTTGTGTCTGTACAAATAGATTAATATTGTTTATTCTGCATAGGTTTCTCATATCATTGCTTCTTGTTTTGTCTAATAGTCTTTTTCCGGTCATTTTTCTTAGTATTCTCATCTCATTTGTCTCCAAATATCTGTGCTTGTATCTGCTCTTGTTCCTACTGTATATGTCATGACTGGTCGGATTACAGATTTGTTTATTTATGCTTGTTTGTCTAGATCTAGTGTCTGTTTCACCGTATTGTGTCATTGTAGCACTTATCCCCTTACTTTCTCTTCAATATTTTTGTTGGTCCCTAAGTTTATTCCCATATATTTAAATTTTAATACTTGTTTTATCAGTAGGTTTTCAATCTGAACCTTCTTTCACCTTGTTGGTTCCTTTGACAATACTAAACTTTTCATAATAAGTGATAAAATTTTCATATTAAATCGTTTGGCTTTGATATTAAACTGGTGTAGTATTTATTGGAGATCATCTTCGTTCTCTGTTATCAAAAACTCGTCATAAACATCGCATATTATCTTTATCTCCTTGCTTGCCGGTTGTTTTTTTATTTTTACTAGTTTAAAACCTCTCAATACTATATTAAATATAAAAGAATAAATATTACAACTGGACTTCCATATCTGATTCCAGTTGTAGTGTTTATAGATTCTTTTTTTTTTTCTATTTGAACTTTTACTTCGGTTCTGTTTCTTACATGTCGGTTCTCTATTATTTTTATGATATCAAGTAATCTGGATTATCTGTTGTACAGATGTATATCGCATCCGATAGTCTCACTGTGTCGTAGGACATTTCTAAATTAACCAAACATAGTTAGGCTAGTTCATTATATTATTATATACTTCTCTGCACAAGAAACTTGTTGTTAGTCTGGTATACTAATCTTTTCTTCAAATTATTTGATATTATTTTTAATATTAATTTCAAAATAGTACTTAACAATTCCTTTAGAGTATTATGGTCGGACATTACCCCTATTGTAAAAGAAAAAACATAATACTCGTTCTCCACTCCTCATGTATTGTTGATGACCTTAACCCTTTATTAAATATTATGGTTAACTGTTGTATAAGCCATATTTTATTAATTTCTTTTCTGTTTTTTAACTTTATGATGACTTCTTTTATCTCATGTTTTTATCATTTGCGTTAACTCATTTGATGTTATATCGGGAGTTTCAAGAGCATGTTCAGTTTCCTTTGTTCGGTTTATTTGTCTAATATTATGTTGTCCATTTTTTTATTTATGTTGATATCTTATATTAATTCCTTAATTTCTATTATATGTCCCTCTTATAAACTTTTACTGTTTTATTGTTTTCTTCGGCCTGATTAGCCCATGTGCCGTGTTACGAACTCTCTTATATGCATAAGTCCCCTGCGTTCTTTCAGATCTATATTTTATATAAATATTCTTTTTTCCTTCAGATATATTTCTATACTTTGGGTAAACATTATAGTGTACGTTTTCTTTCATTTAAGTTTGTGTTTATTTTTATTCCTCCTAGAGGCTTGTTTGCTTTATGTTGTTTTTATTCTTTTCCCAACTAACTTAGTTATCTTCATCGCATGTAACGCTTTGTTGTTAAATTATTTGATCTAGCCTACTTTGATATAGTTTTTTGTCAAAATTGTCTTTATTAATTTTAGTTTCTAGTGTTGGTAGTTTGTGTTTATGATTCTTAATCGAATTAAGATGACTTTTTTTCAAAACTAAATTGTGGCCAGTCCCTACGTTAGCTTAGATCAGGCTCCCTACATCTAATACTTGCTGGTATTATTAATTTATATTTGTAAGAATATGGTATCTCATTGATTTGTGTCCAGTTGTGTTAAATGTTCTTAAAAAAGTATTACATTGACTTAAATAACCAAAATTATTATATTTCTTTCAATAAATATCAGGTTCAAATTTTTAGAAATCATAACAATATTTTGTCATTTATAAGCTTCTGTTTAAAATATAGATTACTTAAATATTATACTTTTGCCGTTTTTAAGATCATAAATCTATTTTGAGGTATCCATTACTTAAACAATCGCGAAATGAGAAATAACTTTCTTGGCTTAAATAGGAAATAAAGATGGGAATCCCCGAATTATCGAAATACGCAGTGAGCGAATTGACAACACCGTATGAGTCTATAAGGTCGTGTATATGAGGCCCCAAGACCACAATACGGATAAAAATTATACTGATGAGGCTGTAAAATCGGAAATCGGTACGAGGTGGTAATGATAGGAGAACCGAGGGGGAGAGTATATGTTAAATTTTGTTTTATCCAAATAGAAACTAGGGCATTAAGAATGTTTTGTTACCTGTTTCGATATACACGACGACTAAAATATTATATACACCTGGAAATAGGAGAGGCCGTAAGGTTGCGCTATGGTTTGAGTCCTTAAGGATAGTAGGATGTAAATATATATATATATATATATATATATATATATATATATATATATATATATATATATATATTGAAAAGCTAGGATATTCATAAAAAGAAATATTTAACGTCAATTCACGTTAATTTTTAGATATACAATCTTCAATCGAAACAAAAACAAATATGCTTACGTTGTCTCTTATCGAATACCTAAATGGTAGTAGTAAACAGTTAAATAGTTATTGATTGTGTTTAGTCAAAAATAAGTTGTCTTAATCTCAGTAGACTCAAAAACAGTAGGATTTAATTCATTATAGCCAAGTATTAGAGTATTGATTGATAGTTTTGTGTTAAAAGTGTTGCCTAGTAGTAGTATTAAGGAATTTTTAAATGTTATATGATGTTATGTAATATCAAACACGTGAAAGTGAACGTCAGATTGACGTTGACAAACGTAATCTGACAACTCGATGACCTTTTTAACCTTCGAAATCACACCGGGTTCTGCGGTCCTGCGGCGCCTTCTTAAAAGTTAGAGAAATAAAATTGGTGATTTCGTCACTTATTTTTCAGTTGCTTATTGGCAACCAGCTTCTAGTGACGAGCAACGGTGTTATCTCTTCTAGTTTTTATCAAATACCTTTTGTTATAAGAAAACTGAACAAACAACCAGAAGAAAGCAGTGAACATGTCTCTGAAACAAACAGTGTCACTTTTACATAGCAAAAATGGAATTAACGCCGTTGCACAAAGGGCCAGGTAACTAATATAATTTATATTTTTTTAAATTATCCCTTCTTGATGACCTAACCTAACCCATATCAGAATCAGGCAGATTAGTATTTTCATTATTAAAGGACACTGAGACAGAATACTTCATTTAGGACAGTTTCTAAATTTATTAATTCTGGAATATTAGACATTAAGAAAGAATTACATAATCTTTATTCATTCTTTGCATATTTCTGTTTTAAACTTAATTTAACAAATCTATTGAATTTTCTTTTGGTTATAGCTGTAGGGAATAAACATGTCAGTTGATTTTCTTCTATTCTCTGTAAGGCTTATAAGTTTGTCCTTTTTTATAAGAAATTTATGTACTAAGCAAATAATTTCATAAAATGATCTTATAAATTCCTTTACTATTGCATGCTGTATGAAAGTTATTTGTTTCCAATCGTAATTTGTTGATCTTACTTTTACACTCATGTATCACAATGTCTTGAATTGAACTATATTAGGTGGCTCCATATTGCTAGCTGTGTTATTGCATATTCTAGGTTTGGTCCAATAACTACAATATCTTACTAGAAAACTACCCTAACTTCCTTTACTGTATTTCTATCTGCATACTTTTGTTTTCAGATTTTAAATTCACTCTGATTATATTCTCCATCCTGAGCTATCCTTACTGGGACAAATATATTTTTATATACTTGTTATATTTGAAATGCTTATATTCTTTCCACACTCCTATTTGTTAGAGATCCTCACTAGGATTTCTTTGAGAGCCTAATAGTTTGAATGAAATTTTCCTCAGGGCCACCAGTACAAGTGATGGTATAAAATAACTTTAAAACTATATGACTATAACAAGTTTATTACAAGTTAAGTAAAAACAATATAATTATAAATTATATGGACTGTTTTGCATGTAAAAAGTAGGAAAATGTCTTTTACTTGACTCCAGGAATGTCAAGTCCCGAATTTGTTAATTTTTTGAAGTCAATGGGTAAAATCTTTCACAGCTCTCTAGAATGGCATCTATGTTAGCAGGTTGGGAAGAAACTGAAATTCTCAAAATGTTTTCAACCTTCTCGCTAGTTAGCCTACATCTGTACTTGTTTTTTATGAACTTCATCTTACTGAATGTAGATTCACAGACATATGTAGATGCAAAAATAAACAAAATTTTCTGAGCAAAGTCAATTAAGTTAAAAAATTTGTCATTTCCAACTGCTTCCCAAAACTTATAGTGAGCTTTTTCCTTATTTTTTTCTTCCAAAATATGCCGTAACTCATGAAGTATAAAAAAGTTACTTACATTCCTTTTGTTTATCATTCTTTCATTATTATATAAATATGCTACATTTCTACTTTTTTCTAAGTTTTTGGTGGTCTTTTATCTAAATAAATGTTTTATCTCAAACTCAAATTTTGTAAAAGTATATGTCATCTACATACCAAGATAGACCATATAATTATTAATAGTTAATTATGATTCACTTATGAAATTGTCCTACCTAATGCTCAGCTATTAATTAATAATAGTTGTAGTTTCGCTTTAGGACGAAATCAACTTCAAAAATTTACCTTACATAAAATGATTCTGTTTTAAGTAAAAATATTTTTGAGACACATTTATTACTACAGTACAGTTAACTTGAGAGTGTTTAAGACCTCAGATATCTCGAATATATTTTTCTTTATTACATCCTTTGGATTATTTATCAAAACTTTTTTCAAGTTCTTGGTGGTCTGGTGTTCAAATGGGACCCCCTGATGTTATCCTAGGAGTAACTGAAGCCTTCAAAAAAGATAACAACCCAAACAAGATCAACTTGGGTGTTGGAGCCTACAGAGATGATAATGGAAAACCATATGTTTTACCATCTGTCCGTGCAGCTGAAGAAAAGATCAAATCTAAAGGTTTGGACAAGGAATATGCCCCAATTTCTGGTGTACCTGAATTTTGTAAAAGAAGCATAGAGCTCGCTCTTGGTGAAAACTCATCAGTTTTGAAAGATGGTCTAAATGCCACTGTACAAGGTATTTCTGGTACTGGTTCCCTTAGGATAGGAGGTGCTTATTTGAACGGCTTTTTCCCTGGAAACAAAGTAATCTACCTGCCAGCTCCCTCATGGGGAAACCACAATCCCATTTTCAAACACTCAGGGTTAGAAGTTAAAACTTACAGATATTATGATGCTAAAACCTGTGGATTGGACTTCAAAGGAACCATAGAGGATATTTCTGTAAGTATACCTATCGTAATATTTGTAGTACTCTCCTACTTCTAGTGAATTGGACTCTATACTTATATTTTGGACATGTCATATGAGGATCAAGATACTGCTGCAGTTGATGATTCTGGAAGGTAAATCTTCAATAGAAAATAGAACTTTAAGAAGAAGATTCTGTGAATTCTCATTTTGTAAACCATATAGATTATTCTCTTATTAATCAGATAAGTTCTTTTGTCAGATGCTCAAATGTTATATTATACAATTTTTTAGCTTTCTACTCAATTGTGTTGGTTCTTTCCCTTTGTCTAAGCAACAAATTTTGCTTTCTAACTTTTCCATATTGGGATTTTTTTGTGTATATCTTATTATTAATGTGGGTTTTGTTATCATGTTGTAAATCACTGATTTCTTTTGTTAATAGTGAGTTTCTTCAGAGATCTTAATCTTTCTCTTTTTATTTCTCTTTTTCTAGCTATAGACCTATAGAGATTTTACAAGTACTCTTTTTTATTTCTGCATTTATTCCTGCATGATACCAAATTTGATTTGGGTTCAAAGATTTGTTATTTTGAGTTTTATGCTTTCTGTCACATTTTTATTGATTTCTCTTATTTTAAACAACTTTTTCTTTTTTTATTTCACCATTATATCTTTCCATTTGTGAATCCTAAAGTTATGTAATGGTTGAAATTCAAAATTCAATGTATCCTCAGGTTAAATAAAGCAACAATAACAGTATAAATACAACACACTTGTTTGATTACAAAAGAATCAAATAATAATTTGCAGGTTCAAGGATTGACACCTGTTGACTGATCTTCTTATGTAACCTTAATATTAATGAACTTTTAATTCTATTATTGACATTGAACTGCTTCCAACAAAAAGTAGGTTTATTTTTACAGCGTTTTAAAGTTAATTTTACTTATTCTTATCAATCAGTGATAAAAATAAGTTAAAAGGATTATGTTGCTTTTTATCCTTGATATAATCTACATGAACTGCAAATAATCTGAAACAATAAATGTTATTTTGTACTTACAACATAAAGCAATTCTTTGATAAACATTTATCAAATAATTTATAGAATATAATATTATCTTGTGACATGATTTTTAAATAATATTTACAGGGGATTTGGAAATTACGTGGAGCACACTAAAACTCAAACTTTGTAAAAGTATGTGTCACATACATACCGAGATAGATCATAATATAATTATTAATATTAAATATATCAAATTAATTATGATCCACTTATTAAATTGTCCTACCTAATGCTCAGCTATTAATTAATAATAGTTGTAGTTTCACTTTAGGACGAAATCAACTTCAAAAATTTACCTTACATAAAACAATTCTGTTTTAAGTAAAAATATTTTTGAGACACATTTATTACTACAATATAGTTATATCGAGAGAGTTTACGACCTCAGATATCTCGAATATATTTTGCTTTGCTACATTCTTTTGGATTATTTATCAAAACTAATTAACTAAATATCATTTTATTGTTCAAAGCACGAAATTGATTTAAAAGTTTTGTACAATGTCACAATTATTTATGTATATTGATATCAACAATGTATGAAGCAATGTCATATATTGAAGTAAATAAGAGTCCTAATGATATTCCACCTATTATTCTGAAATATTGTAAGTTTTGTACTATCACGTCCACTTCACATTTTATTTAATGAATCCCTTACATCATTAATATTTCAAGAATTTGGGAAAATTAGTTATAGTTGTCGTGAAATGTTCCCTGTCCATTACCACTTAACTTATAATACTTTCTATGTTTTCTTTAACAGTTCTTGACTGTATCACGTCATTTTGTATTCTGTCTCTCAAAATTAGGTCAAGGCTTTTAAATTCAAACGAATGCAATGATGGTACTGGTGTTGTGAACTTGAGTGGGTATTACTTTAACTGATATCACAAGCTGGATGGCAAATAAAGCAGGGTGAAGTTATGAACGAAAGTCAAATATGTTTAGCATATCTCTCATATATCGTTCCCTGTAATTAAATTAAAGGTACTTTGAAAATGGAGATTTCTGTTGATTGTACCATAGATTAGGTCAGTTTGCATACTGTGCACGCCAGTATGAATGAAGTTTAACTAACGGTACATGAGCTGGATTTGTGAAAATTACCTTGAGTCATATTCATGGTTGAGTAATAATTATAAGACATAAAAGAATGAGAATAATATTTTATTTGATTTAATAATAATCTTGATATTTCAGAAAATCCCCGAAAAATCTATCATACTTCTCCATGCTTGTGCACACAACCCAACCGGAGTTGACCCCAACAAAGAACAGTGGAAAGAATTGTCTGACGTAATCAGGAAGAGGAATCTTTTTGTATATTTCGACATGGCATACCAAGGTTTCGCTACCGGCAGCGTTGACAACGACGCTTTTGCAGTAAGTAACTTACTCCATTCCTCAAAATCGTTTTTATTGTCGTATTTAATTTCTAGGTTAGATATTTCGTTGAACAAGGTCACAGAGTCGCACTCGCTCAAAGCTTTGCCAAGAACATGGGTCTCTATGGTGAAAGAGCCGGAGCTTTCAGCATTATCGCCAATTCCAAAGAAGAAGCTGATAGAGTTATGTCTCAAATTAAAATCCTTATCAGACCCATGTATTCCAACCCTCCTGTTAATGGTGCCAGAATTGTAGCTGAAATTTTAAGCGACTCTGCATTGAGAAGCCAGTGGTAAGTAAAATTGGTATATTCTTTAAATTCATGTATACATGTACAAATTTATAATTTGCTACTTCTAAATTTTATTGTATATCGATTTTACAGCGAGTGTGATAAACATTAGTCTTCTTCACATTCTGACTTCTTCTGGAAAGTGTATTATCAGTATATATTCATGAAATATGTGATGATTTCCACAGGAAATCTATTTCAGTTAACAAACTTTTGGTTTCTAAATTTGTTCAGCAGTTTGAAATGTATTAGATACTTAAATTTAGCGAAAATATGGCACCAACTATTTTTCTAGTTTTATTTTTACAACTATTAATTGAAGTATCACTTTGTCATATAGTTAATTTATAGTATTTGATGATCTGCATGGTTATGGTTAAGGTAGATCGGAGCAGAGCTTATTTGTCAGCTCTTCAGACACTTAGATCTCCTAAGCGGGTCCATTGGATCACCCCTATCATATGGACTAGACTCATAAGGACCGGGTCTTCAGCTTTTCTAGGGCCCAGAAAGGCAGAAGTCTCTTTAGAGGGTAATTCCTTAAATTGGCTCGGTTAAAGGCCAGACCCAGCGTCTGCCACCTCTAGTGGGTCAGTGCCGGGCACTTTCAAAAGACATGTGAGGAGGTTTTCTTCTCCTCATTAGTCCAGGAGTTCTGGAATCTCTGCAAAAGAAGCTCCTTGAGACTACCAGTACTGAATAGTACTCCAATAATATGTTCGTGTCCCACCGTGTTCCCTGTCTTGCCAGGGCATCAGTCCGTTCGTCTCTTTCACCCCTGTGTGTCCTGTTACCGATATCAAATGGACAATATTGGTCAGCACTACATCAGGAGGTGCTCTGTTGCACCCAAGAATCAGTTTAGAACTGACTTTGGTTGTTTCAAGGGTCTTGATGTTGTTGACTGTCAGAGCAGATAGAGATAGCCCTGCCTGAGCAAGTTATTATCTCCTGCTCGCGTACCAAAATCTCAAAAATCTCGACCTGAAAGACAGATGCTTGGGAGCTGAAAGCCTGGCTAGACACTAATTTATCTTCGTATTAACTTTTGTGTGTAAATTGTTAGTTTTTCTCTTGTTATTAATTTCATTATTTTATATGTCGCGTACGTAGATTGATGCATCGGTAGTTTTTAAATACTTCATCAGTTTATATGTTTATATATATATATATATATATATATATATATTATATATATAATATATATATATATATATATATAATATATATATATATAATATATATATATATATATATATATATATATATATATATATATATATATATATATATATATATATATGTTTCTTTCTGTTCTGTTATACCATCTTTGTCTTATAACTTTGTTAACATATCGTCCTACCTAATGCTCAGCTATTAACCAATAATAGTTGTAGTTTCGCTTTAGGACTAAATTATATTCAAAAATTTTACCTTACATAAAACAATACTGTTTTAAGTAAAAATATTTTTGAGACACAATAATAATAATCCGTAATCAAAAATAAAAAAAGTACTTCAAGCGTAAAGGTCCAACATGAAGACTGGTACTGGTAGTCAGATTCAAATTCTGGGACGATTGTCTGACTCTGAAATCCAGCGTTGATCTTGGACGTACCCTGAAGTTTCTAGTACCAATTGGAGATTTATGCAACATTGCATTGTGCAAGAGAAATTAACATAAAAATGATCGAACTGAAACGGATCAGTATATGCATAGATAGTCAAGCAGCCATGGGGTTCTTAGAAACTGTAAGATGGACTCTGGGTTAGTGTGGGAATGCCGAGAACTCGACAAACTGACTGAACATACAGTGTCACACCGTAACTTTATTTGAAATTTTAAGAATTCAGTTGATTTCATTCTCCCTATCCGATATACTCGGTATCATCCGTCTATTATTGATTATTGATCGGTTCTCCCCGATGTCTTCCGATTTCCAATCTCTATTGTCATTGCATAAATCGTCATCCAGGTCCCTTTCTCATATTTTTATTAATTATTTCCCTCTAGTTCCTTCTGGGTATTGGAGGTATTCTTCTTGGTTGCTCTTCTAAGACAGGTTTTGAGATTCTGCTTCTGCACGTCCATACCACACCAGCTATTTGTTTTTTGATGTCCTCTATAATTCTTTCTTTAAATATCATCCTAGAGAACTCCATTTCTGTGGCTCTGAACATCTTCATTGATTAAGTTAATCACAATACTTTTAACCATAGTATGTATTATATATTCTTTTTTTGTTATCTTTTGTGATGGATCAATATCATAACATGCCATCTAAGAGGCTTACGACTCTTCTCCAGTGTGCTTGTTTGATAAATCGTCGCATACTGTGATCTGTAATGTGATATTTTTACTCCCAAACAATTATAATCCGTATAAGTTTAATTTCTTGTCCATTTTCTTCTTATACCGATTGTTGTTGTTGCCTTCCGCTGCAGAAATATTTCATCTTGCCCTTATTTACTTCTAAGTCTCATTCTTTATATTCCTCTGTATTCCTCATATACATGGATGTTATCCTAAACATATTTTTCAGATAAATGTTGTATAATTGATACATTTGATCAATCTACTATCAAATATCGCAATTGTAGAAAGTAACTCATGTTTAAATTATTTTTTGTAGTCCAGTAAAATTGGACCCCTATAGAAAAAAGATTTTGTTCCGACAAAAGGAAAAAATTTCAATAATTTGACTGATCTGTGTTTAAACTGTTCAAATGTTTTGGCAAAGATTTGGGTTCCAAGAAAAATGTAACGTTGCCAGCGTGTATGATTCAACTTGAAGTTATCTGCAATGTGGTAGTTAATATCTTTATCTAACGGTAGATAATGTCTGCTATCAACAACAATATCGCATGTTACGTCGATGTAACTGGCAACAACGCCATTGTTCGGCTAGCAATTTTATTGTCTGTTATCTGTACGCAGGTTTCATAAGGGCACTGACAGAATTATTTGTAGTAGTACTACTAGTAAAGGAGCTTTTACGTTTACTTTTTGTAAATTGTGAGTAAAGGTCGATTCAGACACATCAGTCTCGTCATAGTCTCGGCGCCGAACCGGTCCTGTTTGGTCACAGAACTATCAACTATCTGACAGCTGGGTAACTGTTTGTCAACTGACGAGTGTGAATGCCGGCAACATATTTGTATTAAAGAATATTTTGTATGACGGATTGTTCGGTTCGGCGCAATCACTGTGACGAGACGTGACTGATGTGTCTGAATCGACCTTAATTTAGTTTAATTCAATTTGGTGACAAATAATAAATATGACTGACAGTAGTATAGTGAACCGTATATCAAAAAGAAACGCCACAATTAAACATCCGAAGAAAAAATTATAGAACAAACGATAATAATACTTTGAAGGTTGAGACAAGAGGAAGGAAACAAATAAAATTGGATTATACAACCAAGTAGGCCATTCATCGTACAGTACATGAATTTTAATTTCAAAAAGGAATTACCAACTATAAAAAAAATTGCTTCTTCTCTTCAATCTAATGAAAATATTCCAAAAATATCAAGACTTGTTTTGTTACGTACTGTATGGGAAATGAACTGTAAAATTATTTCAAGAAATAAGAAAATAAAGATTTATGACAATCAATTCGTTCTGCAATCATGATTATTTTTTTAATAAAAATCACACGCCTTTGATTCGTCGATTTCCTTTCCCCTTAAATCCACAAAGGTCTACAATGAAAACATTAGTCACTTTCTACAATTTTGGTATTGTGCTGTAAGATGATCTTCAGTAACGTTCTGAGAATAAATATTCCTACAACTTTCGATAGTATGTTCATTCTAGCCTCAGAAAATAAATGATTGTATGAGTGTCAAAAGTTGAAATTAGGTTATGAGAGGTTAGGGTCATTATTTATATTTGTTTTTTCTTGTATTTTACTTTTTTTTTCTGGTCCTAAGATGATGTGTACAAATATGAAAAATGATTCTTATCAGTCCTTAGATAAGAAGCTGTTAATTTCACTTGTTTTCTGTTTTCAAATAATAGAATGAATAAAAAAATTATTCTTCACATGCGCACTGGCTTTATGACCAACCATCTAAGCAAAAAAAATAAACGATGTTAATTGATTTCCTAGGTGCGGAAATGTCCGATATCAAGAGATTGTATTGAAAAGAACAGAATGGTAGATGAATATTTACTTCATGTAAGCGATAACGCTAAAAAAACAGCAGAATATATTTTTACAAATATCCAGGTACTTGAAGTCCAATATTAGGAGTAATATTTTTTTCAGAAGTTATGTTTGTGTATCATAATTTGATATTTATCGCATTTTTTAGGTTGCCCGAAGTAAAAGGAATGGCCGACAGAATCATCTCAGTTCGTAACAAACTCAGGGAAAACTTAAAGAAGGAAGGTTCAAGCAGAAACTGGGAACACATTACAAACCAAATAGGAATGTTCTGTTTCACCGGAATGGCACCTGAACAGGTAACTTGCCTATTTTTGATTTTATTCAGAATATATTATTGGTAGTGCAAAACGGTAATTTATTTTAAATTGAATATTGTCAAACAAGTATCGACATATAAATTATGTATTATATGCCATAAATCCTAAGTCATAAAAACTAAAAATAAAAAACTTTTGCATTGAAGTGAATAGGTATATATTTGATTTAAAAGTAAATAAAAAAAATCTAAATGGATTACAATTGTTGAAATTGTTCAAAACGGACGTTTTCGGTCTTATCTGCCCATCTTCAGTGAGCTTTGCTTAGTGTTTGCTTCAGTACTGTACGAATTATGGAATCATAGGCAGTTTTAATGATAAAACAGTTTATTTGGAAAAAAATTATATTTTGACAAAACCATAAAGGTGAACTTACAACATTTAGTGGGAAATATGTCCCCCTTTGGCTGCAATTACTGCTTTTACCCGTTTTGGCTTAGATTCTACGACCTTCTGACAGTTCCCAGATATCCTTTCATCTCGAAACCAAAAATGACCGCTTCTATCATTTTTGTGGTTGAGTTCTGGCGAATTACCGAGCCAATTTATAACATTAATCTTCTTATTTTTGAAAAATTCCATCATTTACTATGACTTGTGACAGGGCGCGAACAGAGTCCTGTTAAGGAATCGCTCCTTCTTGGGGCTGACATTTTTGGAGTTCTGTGTGCAAACGCTGTTCCAACTTGGATTTGTATTTTTGGCTGTTTCATGCCTTCGATTGGTACCAAAGACCCAACCCCCATGTATGAAAAACATCCCCAAAACATTTTTTTGACTGGAACTTTTACGGTTTGATCAATATGAGATGGTGTAAGGTTTTCATTGTCAGACTTTCTGACGAATTTCGATCGCTGTCCCCGAATTATTAAGTGAGTGACATCTGTAAATAGGACATTTTTTTTCATTCTTCAAAATTAATTTTCAGAACAGTTGAGTCATGAATCACTATAGCTGATGCTGCTAGATCTTGTTGGAGCTCTTAGCTTGTTTTCCTTGGGTCCAATTTGCTCATTCGAAGTAAAAATCTTTATCTGCTGGAGTTTTTTTTCTTTTCTTTCGCATTTTACTAACCTTTGCATACCCATTGATTGAGTTTCTCATTTACGCTTTAAAATCTTGCTTACTACCCCTTGACTCACTCCACACGTTCTTGCGATTTCTCTTTGTGACATAGAAGTGTGTTCACTTAACGTGATAATCTTTTCACTCTTCCTAGGCGTAATATCCATGATGGAATTAAACGAAATAAACTCACTAATTACCGAAAACAACACAAAATAGTACAAAACAACACAAACTTAGTGGTAAATGTCCAAAACACCCTCAAATAAAAGGTAGAGAAAAGTAAGGTTATGTTTTCAATGCTTGGTCAGTTGTTAGTGTATGGACTGTGTTGCCAACTGTGAATATTGAAAAATGTCACAATGATTCCATTAATTCGCACAATACTGTAAATAACCCCATCACCAAGCAGAGGGTGGGTTTAAATTTAATGTTACATACTTAAAGTATTGAAATAAACGACAACGACATAATGTCGATGATTACAGATTTAACTATTACAATGGGGGGGGGGGGGACAATATGTCCCTACTCAAAACAGCACTTAAATTAGTTTTGTTATCCGTATTATTAGTATTATTAAGCCAGCTATCTTGAATTCTTTTTCGCACTAAATTGTTAATATTTAAAAAACAACGCAGACATTTCTGTAGAAAACGTAAAGGTTTTCTTACTGTAGGTATACATCATCATCATCATCTTGGTGCTACAGCCCTTAGAGGGCCTCGACCTTCTCAAGCTTTCTACGCCATTCTGTTCTGTCCCTTGCTTGAATTTTCCAGTTGCCGAATCCGATCTTCTCCGCATCTTGTGTTACCCCATCCATCCACCTCAGCTTTGGTCTACCCCGTCGTCTCATTCCCACAGGTTGCGCTGTTAGAATCTTTTTTATCATGTTCGATTCAGGGGCCTGGGCTACATGTCCTGCCCACTGCAGGCGGTTTCGCTTAATTATAGTGGTAATATCTTTACCACCAAACGTATGCTTGTAGATATTCTGCAGTTCGAAGTTATATCTACGCCTCCATATTCCGTTCTCACAGACCGCTCCAAATATCTTGCGTAGCACCTTTCTTTCAAAAATGGATAGAGCGGATTCATCTGTTTTTGTTAGCGTCCATGCCTCTGATCCGTATGTGAGAACGGGGACTATCAGTGTTCTATACAGCCTTATACGAGTTTTTTGAGACAGACGTTTGTTAGCTAAGTACTTTGATAGACCATAATAACACCTGTTTGCAATTTTATTATTATTCGCCTTTTTATTTCCTCAGATGTATTATTATATAACCGATGTCCCTAGATATATGAACTCATTGACTGCTTCGAAGTTTTGGTCATTGATGATTAAATTTGTGTCAACATTTCCAGCTCTTGTGTTTGTGTTAGTCGCCATGAATTTGGTTTTATTTTGATTTATATGTAACCCCATTCGTTCTGCTGCTGCTACTAGCTCGGTTAGTATTTCCGCAGTTCTCGCCCTAGTTCTTGTTATAATGTCCACGTCGTCTGCATATGCTAGAATTTGGACTGATCTATTAAATATTGTTCCCCTGCTATCTAAATTAGCGTCTCGTACAACTTTTTCTAAGGCGACATTAAAAAGCTGACACGCCAGCGCATCTCCCTGCCTTAACCCCCTATGTATTTGAAATGGGGTTGACGAGTCATTTTGAATTTTTACTGCTGATATCATCTTCGCCATTGTCACTTTTATCAAACGTATGAGTTTGTTTGGAATTCCTAACTCATTCATAGCGTTACTGTAGGTATACATTAACGGAAAAACTTCAAATACATGGGCTATTTGCAACGTCCTGAGAAAAACTTATTTCCCATGTAGCCGAATCGGACGATTCCAAAAACCTCAAAAGATCGTGGATTTGAAGCCTAGAAAGACAAATTTGACAAAGCGAATCAAGAAAAATGTTTCAAATGTAGATGTAGTTAGGATAAATAAGAATTGAGTCAACAGACGTAATGATATTAGAAATACTTTTAATTTAGAAATAACTTATGAAAATTACGTCACAAGGCCAGCCGTTTTATCAATATTGACCTTTCTGGTTTACAATAATAAAAATAACCAAATACTTTTTATTTTTAATTCAAGAAATTTATTTTATTAAAAATATATTTCTTATTTTTAATAATTTGTATTTTCTTAAGCTTTTATTAATTTTTACTTTTAGTAATAATATTTTTCACCAATGACGTAGTAATCGATAATTTCATATTGTTTGTTAACTTGCGAAATAATATCATCAGAAAACAATAACATTTTTGTTGAAATCGATTGATAATAGTTTATTCTGAAGGTCGTCAATAATATTCCGAATTAACAACACTATTCATCCAAACTTGAAGACAATTTGACAATATATTTTGAATAATGTAACTATCTAATACAAAAATGGTTACAAGTAAAATTGTTCATGATTAAATTACCTATTAAAAATTGCTGATACAATAGATAAAAAAAATTCAGCTCGTAAAAATGAAAATTATAGAAAGAAAAGTTATAGAAACAACGTTTTGGAAATTTGATTGTGGGATATCGGAAAACTCTTTAAAGCTTCTTGTAAAAAACTTGAAGTTATCTTTAAAATATTTGCGTAACGAAAAATGTAATACCTTTTTCCTGTTTTTGCATAATAATTTTGCAATCGAGCTCGGTCTGAAAATTTTTTTGCGTGTAATACTTTGTTGCATATGTACAAATGTTTTACGTATAAAAGAGTAAATAAAAACGGGATATGGCACTCCTGGAGTTACCGAGGAGGGGAAGCATAGTTATCTCATCGTATATCTTATGGTTTTTAATCTATTTTTTATTTTATTTTATTAAGAAACACGCATGGGACTGCATTTACTATTCCATGTAGTGTGGTCGTGCTATCGGTCTCTCTGAAAAAAGTTGTGAATGAAAAAAAACAACAAAAAAAAACGCACTGAAACACAATAAAACGAGATATCGTGCTCTATAATATAATAAAATTTAAACCATAAAATAAAATCTAATCCATTTGATTTTGTTTTTATTTTTTCAATCCAATTTTTTATCAAATGAGTGAAACTATTTGAGTTTATTTTGAACAGATCGTTAACGATTTTATCTGCGTATTATTAACTTTCATAGAGTTAGCTTGGTTGTCTTTTTCTTGCATGTATACAACTTTAAAATTATTATTATACTTTTTTTTAGGTTGACAAATTGGTGAAAGAACACAGCGTATACCTAACGAGAGACGGACGTATCTCCATGGCAGGAGTTACCTCAAAGAACGTCGACTACCTCGCTAGAGCCATGCATTTAGCCACAAAATAAGTTCATTCAAAAACGAAACGAAGTTTACTTTCGATATTAAGTATTAAAATCGTATTGATTCTGTATTTTTATTTTACACGCACTCTACTCAATTCACGCATTTAGATTGTTGTTATTTTTTTGTCTTGTTCTTAAATTGTATATCGAAAATTGTTATATTTTAGGAAATAAATGTGTTTATTTACTTAATTTCATTATTTTCGTTATCCTGAATAGCATCCCTTAATTGTCTGAAGCTAACTTCACTATCTAGGGTGAAATGAAAACTGCTACCCACTAACTTTACAGAATTTCTATGTATTCCTGTTTCTGAGTACTGACTAGAGCATATACCTGGCTTCAAAAAAAGGAACCTCTACTCACTGCTATCACAACGATAAGGAATAAGAGTCCAATAAAGAATTGAACTTTAAAAAGTGGCAATGTTAAAATATAAGAAAAGATAAAGAAAACAGTAAGAGTACATACAACTAATATCATACAGTATATTTCACGAATTTGCCAGTTTTGGATTATCGCGGATTAAGTAATAAAACATCAATTTTCGTTGATAAGAACCGGAGATATTGCAACTTTTATAAATTTGAAATTATGAAGTCAGTTTTTAAGATAGTAAAAGTTAAAAATGAAAAAAAGCCAACTCGGGTTCTAAGGATCGTATGACATTGTATTTTTTTTTAATTTGTGTAAAAAACCAACATTTCGAATAAAAAAGTTAACTTCCTACATGTTCATGCATTATAAGCTTAAAATCACGGCACATAATAACGTTATAGATAAAATATTTCTATGATAAACAGTTTCGATTTTGTAATATCTGTTTAGTGAAACTTCTTGAAATTTTTATAGCTGAATACATGTGATATTGTAACTATCATCACGCGAAATTAAAGTTTTTTTGTGCATTTCAAGAAAAGTTATTAATATTCAAAAAAAACTACTTTTGAAACTATTTTGCAGTAATTTAGCAACAAATTATTTTATCTATAAAACTCATTTTAAAAAAATTTTGATTTAGAACAAAAACTGGAAAGAGACAAGCTCGAGGAAAAACGTTTAAAACTAGGACAAGAATAGAATAAGGACAGAATATTTGGAATGTTCATTTAAAATTTGTTGGAAGACAAAAAATGTACTGTTTTTATTATCTTTTATTTAGGCTTTTATTTTTTTATTAAAATGTTCTAGCACTTAGTTTATGTGATATTTATTTCCACTTATTGGCTTTCTACCATACCTTTATCTGAAAGGGCTATTCCCTTTCGGTACTTTTAGTCAACACCGGTTTTTTAAACTCTGGTCAGGGCTGGCATTACAAAAGTAATAGTTTTAAGTAAGTAGGATCGATATTACAGAGTAATGTGGAAATATATGGAGATGCATGCAGTGGAAAGAAGTGAGTGGTGTGTTATGTGACAGAAAGATATCAATGAAACTGAAGACAAAATTCTATAAAAGTATCAGAGAAGAGAAAGGAACAATGAATGCATGTGACGGAAAAGAGAAATTGATGGATAAGTGGAATGACATTAAGAATGAGCATGTTACAGGAAGGCGAAGAGTGGCACCAACTGATACCAAAATGAGAGCATAGGTTAAGATGGTTCAGACATGTTCAAAGTTGCTACATTAATGAATCAATACAAAGAATTACTGATTTGCAAGTTTCTGGGAGGGGTAGAAGAGCAAGAATACTTGGAACATGTTTGTAAAGAGGACACGGAAGATACTGACAGAGAAATTGTAATTAGGAATGCCGAACCTGCATAAAGATAAAAACCAAGAATGATGATGATTCGCTAATGGTGTAAAATGTAACAAGTAGACGTATCATAAAAAATGTATATTACACAGCAATGTTTACAATTACAGACTAAAGACATTCATGCTTGCTTCTTTTTAAAGCTTTTAAATCTAGTTTTCGGTCTTTCTTTTTTCTTGTCCTCTTCTGGTTTAGGTTTGTGTTCGCCGTGAATAATAGAATAAAGTGATTGCGCATCTGCAGAACTTCCAAGAATTTCTTTCAATTCCTCCTGAAATTTATTTGAATATAAAATGACATATTAAAAAACTGTTAGTAGTATATTTTAGATAAAAAGTAACTATTTTACGTTATAAATATGCGTGCACCAGAAAATATCTGCAATTTGATGGCTTAGAGCCATAGTAACGTAACTACAAAATTGGCGAAATCGAAAGGAAAAACTGTCTAGAGGAAAAAAGTTAGTGGATGAGATTCGCGAAAATAGTAAGTATAATTCATAGTATACCTAATTATAATAATAATTCCATATTTTAAACTATTTTTGTTATCTTTAAATTGTGATGTTTTAAAGCTTTTTTCGTTTTTGTATTTTATACATAATGTACAAAATCTTTTGACACTAAATATATTTTTAGAAAAACTCTTAATTGAAGATAGTATAGAAAACAGTAATGCAAAAAACTTTTTTAAAAACACACATTAGCTGCCTATAATTTAAATGTTTTTAATGTTGCTTCTAAAGAGGCTCATAATTCTGTTTGGCATGAAGGACTGGCTAAAAGTGGTTCGTTGAGACCTGCAGTGGACACGAAATGTTAATATGATTGCAATGTTTCTTTATGCCGTGAAAATATAGATTGTTTTTACAATTAACCACTTTTTTGAGCCTGGTCATTCCATGATAAAACGCGATTTTGTTCATGAGCAAATAAAAAAAAAGGTCGAAATGTAGACATTTTTGATCCATCTGGTTAGTATATGGAGTATACTAAGAATTTAAAGTACGGAGTAATTGAAATGGATCAAATAGCGTTTTTCGATTTTAATAGCTTCACACAGAAAACTATACATAATAAAAAACTAGATACACACGGCAACAAAATAAATTGCCTTAAGGTCGTTTGGCTTCAGTTTAAAAAAGAAAGCCCAAATACAGTGATTTTTCAATACGAATTGGATTCAGAAGCTGTCTTAGAATATAATATTTCAACTAATATCTCTGAAGGAAGAAGCTTATGTAGAGAACAAAAAGTATAACTTGATCTGGAAAGAATGTATACAATTACAATGGCTATCTCCTCTGAAAAACATAAAAATCTTATTGAGCTTTGTCTAGATGTCATTCCCAAAACTTAATATGCTTTTTATGATTCTTTAAACGAGTGTCATGGAACAGGCTGAAATGAAAGCATAACCGATCAAGAAGATAGTGATCAACATTTTTTTTTGTATTTTTATAGTTTAATAAACACTGTTTATTTTTTACTTTTATTATTAAAACAATTACTTCAGATAAAACGTATCTACATTTTTTAGTGTAACAAAAAGAACCTATAGGAGTAACTAAAACCTATATCATTTTTAATAAAAACATAAAATAATACATTTTACTACAAATTATATTTCTCAACGTTGCGTGTGTCAGAATTTTTGAAAAATGTGTTTTTGCTAGATAAATAATTAATTCAAGTTGCTAATTAATGTAGAAATTTTACTGGTTAAGTAATTATATCAACTTTTTGTCATGTAACGAAAAACAACTCAAGATGGAGCTCAAGATGCTGGATATTCACGATGTTTCACCATTTCAACCAAAAATTACAGATTTTTAACACACTCATATCCAGACAAAATTAATGACACATTAATGAACTTAGTACGGTGTACTTAGACGTAATACAAAACAGTCTACAAGATAGTGCAGTCAGATCTTGGTACAACACTAACAAAAATTTTAAGGGCTAGAAAAATTAAACGCTACATTATCATTGACTAGCATCCTTCCGATTATATCGATGGTATCAATTAGAAGATCTCATTACCGTACTAGATTTTTTAATTTGATTATTTGCTAGCAATGTTATTCTCTAATACTTTTTGAAGAACTTCGTTTGAATGTATCTTAAAAAATAGAAAAACAGGAAAACAGAAATTGGCACTAATGTGTATAATGAATTTTAGATTTAAAACTCCAAATTATTGACTTTACTATACCTCAGACTTTTTGGTAACTTCGTCCATACTGATACCTTTCCTTAAAAATGCATCGATATTTTTGGAAGTGATTCCTGGCAGTTTCTGGACAAAATCATAAATATTTGAATTGTACTTTGATTGAATTGTATCGAGATCTTGTTCTCCTCCTAGAGCTGCGGCATACGCAATATTCGGATCCTCCTTATCCAACTAAAATAAAAGACAGAAAATAAATACATACTGTGCTTATGCGTAATGCAATTAAAAATAGATAATGGGTCACATATTTTTTCACTAAAGTTAATGATTATAATATAATATCTACATATAACTATGTAGGTAGATATAGATATCCATATTCTGAGCAACATACCGGTTTATTTATTTAGCGTATGGCAATTTGATACACAACATTATCACATATATGTTACAATCTAACATCTAATGTATTAATATATTCAATCGACGATGGTGTTGCAGAGGCGAAGTCTAGAGGATCTCCATAATACTTCCTCCGAGGGCATTCGGCAATCATATGCTGGATGGTCTGTTTCTCGGCGCCGCAGTCGCACTCAGCAGAGGTTCTCATCCTCCATTTATAAAGGGTATCTGCGCAGACTCCATGACCCGTTCTTATCCTGTTAAGAGTTGACCATGATTTTCGGGGGAGGTCAAAACCTGGTGGAGTTTCTGTGATGCATGGTGTGTTTCTCATTATTAGGTTCGGTCTGTCGCTCTGCATGTTCTTCCACTGGGAGTTCATTTGGAAATTGTTGGAACTCAAGTTTATTGCATCTCTAGTCGGAGGTTTTCTGGAGCGCAATCGATGTGAATTAGCGTCGGCGACATATGTATGTATAGGTAATTGCGGGTTGTTAAGCAGCTTTTGGAATTCTCTAAGCAGAGCATGCTGACGACGAAGATTAGGTGGAGGTATATGGCTCAGTAATGGAAGCCACTCCACAGGTGTAGACTTGATCGTTCCAGATATGAGACGCATGGCGACATTGAGCTGGGTATCTATAATTTTTGTGTGGACGCTATTCAGCCAAACAGGAGAGCAGTATTCAGCTGCGGAGTATACGAGTCCAAGGGCTGAACACCGGAGTGTACCTGCTGATGAGCCCCATGTAGTCCCGCAAAGCTTCTGTATGATGTTGTTACGGGTTCTCAGCTTTGCTGCGGTGTTCTCAAGATGTTTCTTAAAGGAGAGTGTTCTGTCCAGGGTGACGCCGAGGTACTTGGGATTATGGTTGTGCGTGAGCAGTTGGTTATCAATGTATACTTTAAGTTTTGTGTGGGCCATTTTGTTGTTCAGGTGAAAACAGCTAACCTCGGTTTTTTTGGGGTTAGGTTTAACTGTCCATTGTTTAAAGTACTTAACCAGGCGTTCCAGATCTTCCGTTAGGATTGCCTCGGAGTTTTGTAATAAGGAGCTTTGAGTTGCAAGTGCCCAGTCGTCTGCATATCCAAATTTTTTAGATCTGGTAGGGGGCATATCAGCTATATACATATTAAATAGTAGGGGTGCAAGTACGGAGCCCTGGGGGAGGCCATTATTAAGCGTTCTCTGTTTGCTCACTGTAGTTCCCATGGTTACACGAATGTTTCTACTGCTCAGCATAGTATTTATGAGTCGGGCGGTTGTTTTGCAGGGGATTATTTTAAGGAGCTTATAGATGAGGCCATCTTTCCAAACCGTATCATAGGCAGCCGATAAATCGATGAATGCCACAGACGTCTTCAGTTTTCTTTGGTAACCTGCTTCTATGTAGGTAGTTATAGAGAGCACTTGGTCAGTGGTGCTTCGTTGAGGCCTGAATCCTGCTTGTTCAATTGGTATTTTTTGAAGTAGCTTTGGGCCGATTCTGTTCAGGACCAGTCTTTCGAGGAGCTTGTAAGCTGAACTGAGTAAAGCGATGGGGCGGTAACTCGCTGGGTTGTCTGTTGGTTTTCCAGGTTTCAGGATGGCTATGATTTTTGTTTGTTTAAAGAGGTTTGGTAGATTACCTGTTTTGAGTATATCTGTATAGAATTTAGACAACCAGGTTTTTGCAGATTTCCCACAATGGATCAGGAATTCGGGAGGTATACCGTCTGTACCAGGAGCTTTGTTGGGTTTAATGTCTTAGATGGCGTTTGAGACTTCTTCTGGAGTGAACGGTGCGGAGTACTCTGTATCTGATGGACAGGCAGCTTTTAGATGTTTAAGCTCCCTTTTTATAGTAGTGGTAAACTTTTTATCACATGCTCCTCTGGAGGTGGCAACTATATGTGATGCAATTTTATTAGGGTTGAAGTCGTGGATTTGTCGTGTTGCCAGTTTGTCACTTTCGAGTTTTCTTAGGAGCGACCACGCTTTACGGCTAGACTTTTTGAAATTTAACGATTCGACTTCATTTGTCCATTTCTTCCTTCTTGCTACATCAAGGCTCAGGAGAAGTTCGTCCGCAAGGTCACTTTCACCGGTTTCAAGATATTCTTCGTAGAGGTTTTAGCTTTCCTCACTCCATCCTGGTATGTATTGCTTACGATGGCCCCTGGGAATGTGTTTCTTTGCTGTAGCAATTATTGCCCCTCTAAACCTTTCATAATTTTTGTATGTTGGTGGAATCCATCGTAAGATTTTATCGAGTTCATTGGTAAAGGCGGGCCAGTTACCTTTGTTAAAGTTCCAGCGTGGTCGTGGTGGAATGGTTGTAACTAGTGGGATTTGGATACCAATCTCAATAATGATCGGCCTGTGCTGGCTATGCGGGAAGTCATGAAGTACTCTTCTCTTGGTTGGTAAGGGGTAGCTCTTCTGGTTTTTGCTCACAAAACATAAATCTGGATTGTACTCTTGTTTCCATGCCGCCGATTTAAAAGTGCCCCGGTCTTTGGCATCGAAGACGTGATGCAGGTGGTTACTCTCTGTCCAGTCTAACAGTGTCTCCCCGTTTTCATCGTTGTTTCTGTATTTCCATTCTTGATGATGGCTGTTAAAATCACCTAAATAATGGCTGGATGGGGCCTTATGTCTATGACGTGGCTTGGCCATGTAATGCTTGGGGGTTTATAAACATTTGTCACTTCGATTTCACCTATTTTGGTAACGGTCAAATGTATATTATCTTGCGTGGTGGAAGATACGAAGTGAGCGTTTTCTACGGAGTTTTTTACGTAGTTGGCGGTACCATAAGCATGGTGATAGGTTGCTCCCAGAAGATCATAGCCTGGAATTTTGCCTCTACTTGCGAGTTGTTGTTCGTTCGCAGCATGGGTTTCCTGTATAACTACCAAGTCGATGTCGTTAGAAAGTAGTATGTTTGACAGCAGTTCGCTTTTAACATACCGGTTATATCAGGACATAGTAAAATCATAAATGAAATTAGTGATAGCGATTAAATCATGATTTCTAACCATATGATACCCAGATATAAGTCTAAAATACCTTTCCATATGCACATTTACCCACGAAAGAGATGGGGCTGAGAAAACACTCGACCCATACTGCAAGGCTATACCCGATCATCACAAACTGGCAACGCTGTCGTAGCTTTATCGCATTCATATTTTTGAGAATCTGCTGCCTACAGATATAATTCTCGAGTATAGTGTAACCTAGGTCAAGATATTTTGGATTTCTTCAGTTTGTGACATCCTAAAATCTTAGAATAGTTAAAAGCTTTTGAGATAATTCGCAAATTGAAGGGCGAAAATACAACATGTGTTATCTGTATGGAAGGCAATCGTACCCCTTGAACTCTCCCCTCACCGGTACATATGTTCTTTTGTTATTAAGTGTACCTTTCTCTCTCTCATTAAATCCACACTCTGCTTCTTAGAATCGACATAGTTGATTTGTTCTGCTGAGGCTATTACAAATGAGAGTCAGATTGCGAACATCTATTAAAACAATTGGTGTTCGGGAGTGATGTTTACTATAAATTGATATTCAGATGTGAAGTTTATCATAAGTATCAGCATGTCTGTAAGAGCTTGTTACTTAAGAATACGGTAATAAAATAATGACTTAATTTTTATTCCTTGTTTCTTGTTAATCATACTTACTCTCGCTTTCAAAACTTACCTTCAGTTCTTCAAATAGCTGCGCTGTAGCATATGGACTTGGACTCCAAATAATCTTCAACTTTGGAAAGTGTAAAGTAAGTAAAAGTAGCTTCTGTTGGATGTCAAAGTTATTGCTGTCGCTAGATATCATATAATTGGACTGAAAATATAAATAAAATAAACAATATACTAAATATAAAGAAAATAATGAATGGGAATATAATCATTAAAAGTATAAGAGAAATTTGAGATACAGCTGCGCCGATATAAGTGTCAAATAGGACATCAAGTATGATGAGGTTATACAGCATATTTTCGGGCCTCGTTTTATGATATTTTGTGACGTGAATTGAAGCAACATGACTGTAGTAAGGCTATATCTGCATACCCTTTATATTATTATTCGGTATTATATCTAGACGACCGCCATAAGAATTAATTAATTGGTGGTGTAATTTTATAGGGTTAATTTTATTTTAATTTATTAATCCCAAGTCTCTGTATTGTTGAAGTTTTAATTGTTTTTCATACACATTTATACATTTTTAATTTATACACATAAGAATTTGTGTAGGCGGCCATTATCTGGCGATCTTAAAACAAAATGTACAATGTGTTTATCTTTATGGTTTGGTATTACTAGTATATGTGAATATCTTTGAAGATCTGTTTATGCGAACAAAACAGTAAAAATTTATAATTTTTAATGAGTGCAAATACATTATGCTGACATGACTTAGTCAGTGTTTTGCATTTGTGTCAATTTAATCCATCTTGCTGGTTCTTTAAAACTTTTATTAGTGATCAATAACATGAATTTATGTACTTTTTATTAATGAATTAATACATATAGAAACAATTATATAACATAAAAGAAATGTTAACTTTATTCACTCTCATAGCATTTATTGTAGCATATTTCACATATTGTAATTATATGTTCAAAATTATATTACAAATAGATTTTGAACAAACTGCACACCTTGAAGTAGTGTTTATGTTTTTACTTGGAGGGCAGTAGAAACATTTGACTCTATCTTTAGTTTCTGCTGTTGCTACTGAAGTTTCTTCGTCAGGAATACCAACTCAGGAATACCAACTTGGCGTCTTATTTGAAGTCGTAATAATATTGGCAATGTTGTTATTGATGCACGACTTATCAGGTGGGGTCTTATGAGATCTGTACTAATTTCTCTTAGATATTTACGGCGTTCTAATTTAGTATTAGTATTGCTATAATAAATTACCTGACGATTTATTCCTGTAATATTCATCAATGAAAAAAGACTATAAGTGACCATCGGCAACTTATTCGAGAATCGGAGTAATTACATTTCATCTGCTCCACAACATCCACTGCTCCCTTTGTCGTATTGTAGGTTATAACCTGCGGCTTAAAGTTTTCACCCGTTTTTTTATCACTTGTGTCATCATCATGAAACATAGATAACATCACAACATTTTTTTGTTTTTCTTGGAAACGTGTGATAGTAAAAGACAGTTTTTACAACAACCAAAAATGCTGGTGATTAGTGGTCTTCCTTTTGTAGCTACAAAAAGAGTGCTATTGTGGTTTATTCTTTCTGAGGGTTCCTACTAGAGTTATCCCGTAATTATGTAGCAAGTAAGCAGCCAGTGGAATGGACGTAAACACAAGTAATGTTGCGTCCAGTATGGGCAATTGGTTCTATCATACGTTTAACCACACTGCTAGGACTATTATCTATCTCAAAGGGGTCTTCTGGCTGCTTCCCAGGATATATTTCCAACTTTGCTGTATAAAAAGTTCGCGAATCAACAAGAACGAACATTTTTATCCCATATTTAGCCGGCTTAGTGGGTATATATTGACGAAAGCTACATTTACCTCTAAAACCTTCAAGCATCTCGTCAACGCATTCGAACTGTACAACAAGCCATGCAGTTTTCCAAAAACTCGTCGAGAACTTTTCTAATTGGTGCAAGTTTGTCATGCTTTCGTTGTTCTGCTCTGGATATCGTCAAAGCGTAGTACACGAAAGAGGATATAGAATCGATTCTTTGACATAACTGTCCGAAAACATTCAGGAGCTGTTCCATTTGTAGCCCAAAGATCGTCCAGATTTATATGAGAAGCTTTGAAAGTACCAGTTAAGAACAACAAGCCAAATAGTGCTCTAATTTCATCACTATTGGTACATACTACATCCCTTTCACGAGAAAACTGGTTGCGCATTTTTACTAAATGCGTATTGGTATGTTACAGAATTTCATTGATCATTTCGTCAGAGAAAAACAATTTCCAGCATTCAATTGGTGTTAACATATTGTATTTTTTTTTCGCAACTGGTTTTTCGCTGTGAATGAACAGCCCATTTTGTTATACCATCTTTTCCAAAATAAACTGAATCACCTTTACAACAAACAGAAGCCACATCATTGTCATCAGAATCTACTGACAATTCGGAGTCTGTATTATGGCCTAAATTTTCACACTTGTCTATATCACTTGTCTTCTTCATCTTGTAAACCAGGTTTATTTTCATTCTCCTCTGCTTCAATTTTATCTCTTTTGGGCTGGATCCATAATAAAAATCGCAGGTAGTACAATTATATCTCCGCGGTGACGTTAAAACAGCACGACAAACACAAAAAATTCTTTCTGCGGTTGTTACTGAGCGCGCAGCTCAGCTTATGACCGGACAAATAAATATTTAGTGGTGGGGTATTTATGCCTACCGGAAATGTTTTTACTCGTAAGTGACTCTTAAATATACTACCATTAGAAATTACACTGAGTCTGAATGCCGGTTGTTTTCTGAATACTTTTGTAGTCTTAAAAATAATTCCAACTGAGTGCAGCGCTCACCACGCGAAAAATGACGGGTTAAATAAATTGTGTATTTAGATATTAAAGAATTTATTGTATTTAATTTTTATTTTAATTTAATTTCGAGGTTAGGTATAAATTGCATTTGTATTAGTAGTCATGCTGTTGAAGTTGTTAAAATACTCACTTAAAACAAATTTGTTAAGTATAAAAGCAAGAATTCTTACTTAATTGATCAAATATTACAAATTTCATCCTTACCCGCCACCCGAATTGCTTGTTCTGGTCAAATTCAATCAGCAACATAGGTTTTGAATAAAATCGAGACATATTGGTACACTGTTGATATAATCTCCCAGAGTTTAAAGATCCTATAAGATCCGAAATACTTTTTCTTTCCACACAAATGTCAGGTGTCAGTACATAATCTCCAATCTGAAAATTTAAATAGATGGAGCACTCAAAAAATACTATATAATATATAAACTTACTGAAATGGTAAGAGGTTCGATATCCATACCTCTTTTATGTATAAGAGTTGGTAATTCACTACGAAATTCTCTCATATCAACTATTACAACTTGTTTCTTTGGTGTCTGTTCTTTGCCTCCTTCTCGAGTATTCTTTTCCGGACTTATTACACCTCTCTGCAGGGTGATATTATCATCTGATTTTCCATCTTGATCGGCAGGTATCACCATTTTCTAAAGAAATACATATAAAAATAAAATAGATCTATAGAACCGCCTCTAAGCGGCAAATATCGTCGTCGATATATTTTACTACAAAATGATGTCGCTAGTTAACTCTCAAAGTCAAACTAGTTTGTATGGGCGTCAAAAGAAAAACCAATGACAGAATGGATAGCGTTTCTATTCACATATGACGAGTCCAAATTCAAACTGATGGAAAGTAAGCACAATAATTTCTATGCCTTTCCAATGCCTTTAATCTATTTTTAAGCAGTTATTGCTTACAGCAATTCATCAAAATCACATATTACTTTTGTGGAACATATCACTAGCACAAATTGATAAACAAACTGTATACAATATCGATATAGTGGAAAACTAGTACTGGAGCCTATACTAACTTTCAACAAAACCTTTAACTACTGCAAAGTCGTGTTTTTCATGTACATTGAAGAGATGAGTCAGATGAAAAATAATATTAATTTAAAAACTACGTAGCAGTTAAAAAAGTGTAAAGATTACATCATAAATCACGCGAGTCATCAACTTTCCTTTGCAGAGTCCATCAACGAAATTTTATGCGAAAATCTGCTCTACGTCGAACTATCGAGACGATGAAATACAATTGTCCGTTTGACAAATAAATTCCAACGTGACGTAAGGGGACGACACGGGTTTGGTTACTAGTATGAATGATTTACTGACACTGTTAGACACCTATAACAACACTAATTATCATCATAATTATAAATATGTACTTGTTTTTGCACAAAAGATCTAAAAATATTGTCATGCAGAGAATCTGCTTCATATTCTTACGTTTTTATACTTCTTCTCTCAGTACCGTACCCTCAATGGACGTTAATGATTATTCCAGCTCCATCAGTTTATCTAAAGCAACTCTAGATATTTCTAATATTCTACCAGTCCATTGTCTCAGATTTCAGCAGTGAGATTAGTAACGAGAATTGTAGTTGTATCTAAGTCCGGTTGAATAAAGTCTTATGTGGATAGTTTATTATTTAGCTAGTATTTACTATTTAAAATTAATAAAGACTTGTATTTATTTACAAAACAGAAGGATACTGGAAATACTTGGAAGTAAAGAAATGATTTGTATTTGTGAAGCAGCGCCATCAACGCGAGTATGTTTACATTATACTCTTTAAATAGTAGGTCAGATAGCCAGGTGGTCGAATCGCATTCATTTCACTGTGAATGATCTAGCTTAACGGACAACTTTTGACTTTTTTTACTTTTTCCATTAACGCTAATTTGAAATATGTCGCACTACATTTGATTTTAGGTTAGGATAGTTTATCATGATTGGTATGATACCATCTGGTACACATTAAGTAGTAAGCCTTCTTTCCACCGTGTCGTAAGCACAAGTCAGATCAATGAAAGCTACTGCCGTTTTGGATAAATGTTGTTTGTCTGAATAAAATAATGAAAGAACTTGATCACTACTGTTCTTTTCTGGCATAAATCCAGCTTGTTCTGTAGGAATCCTTCAGCTGACAGATTGTAAATTCTTCTTGTAAAAATTTGTGACGATTGTCACAAATTTACAAGAAACCAAGACACTTCACTACCAGAGACACTTCACAAGGCAAAGACACTTCACTACCAGAGGGTCTGTAACCCTCTGGTAGTGAAGTGTCTTTGCCTGGTTTGCAGATTGCGATGACTGCTTTGTTTGATTAGTTTAGGGAGCTTTTGCGTTGTAATTCTTAAAGCTCTTAAGAGCTCTTAAATAATCTAGGAGCCTTTCGAGTTTTTTATGAACTTAGAAATATTTTGTCAACTCCTGCAGCTTTGTGACACTTTGTGCAGCTTTGTAAGTCTAATGCATTAAAAAATTTCTCGGTATTTATTTGTTCATGATTGGCAGGCTTTGATGATGTGCAATTTTGATCTTTTTGAACTGATATCATACTTCTCTTTTATGAACTTTTTGAATGACGGGTTTGGAGAGCCGTGCAATGCGTTTCGCTATATATTAGGACTATATCTTATGCTTCCAGTTTTCTGAGTTTTTCTTCTACCTAGTGGTTCTTGTGAAATTCAGAGATTCTAGAAGTTGTTCACTCACGTCTTGGTCTATAGTTTGCTATTATTAAACATATAGGTCTTTACATTCTCCGGTCCAGCATGGGATGTAGGATTTGCGTGGAATTTGTTTTTTAGCACAGCTTATTATGAGTTTGGCAAATCTTTCGTAGTTTTATACCTTAAGCTTGATGTGTCTGAAATGGTTCTCCAACAGAGCTTAATACTTATCCCAGTTTGCCTTACGAAAGTTCCATTTTGGCATATGAATTGAGTTTATAATGGGAATAGTAAAGCCCATAGTTGTTAAAACTCCCTATGCTGCGATTTATTTATGGTTATGGTTATTTATGATTACGGTAAACGTCTATGGTGGATATAAATGTTAGATCTGGGTTGTAGCCTTTTTGTCATCTAGCTGAAAAAAATTAGGCTTCTGTTTTGTATCGCCTTGGAGATTGCATTCTGCTTAGCCTAACTGCTAATTGTGCTAACTTTTGAAGTCTCCTGTGTATATTGGTGGATGCGGGAATAAAGGACGCACATCTGGTGGCCATATGGCGTTTGGTGATTTGTATATATTACCGAGTGTGATTTTGTAGCCGACCACAAAAAAATTGTTAGCGTGCCATAGCCTTCAGTTACTTACCGATGGTAAGAAATGGTAGTGGCCTTCATTTAAAAATGTTTTGGATAGTATGATCGTCAATATAATGATTTTCGCACAGACCATCTGGATCACGTTATTTTTAAAATACGAAAATGAAGATCTGGACTATACTTACTGATTTAGCCTCTATGAGGTACTCAAAGGCTTCTTTCTCCCTCCTAAGCGTAGTTAAATAACTCTGTTCTTCAACAGTATCGGCATGTAGTAAGAAATATACTTTAACGGGTTCTTCATCTGTCTTGTGCGATTCATACATCTACAAATATCTTTATAATAGCAAAATATTAACCATAGTAGCATTGACATACTTACCTCAATTTCTCTTACAGCTGTCATACTACAATGATACATGACTATAAATTGTGGTTTAACGCTCTCCAATGTATTCTGCAAATTAGTAAATTCGTTGGATCCTTTGAAAGTTTGTATGAGAATTTTTGGCTCGTGTACTGTTTCGCATATTTGAGTAAGGTCCATGTTTTCCATCTACAAACAAAAACTGATGAGAATTACAGGAATACTTCTAAACATTTTAACTTTTATGCTATATTCGTATAAGAAATCAATTTCAAAGAAAACAGAATCTATGCATGATGAGCATACTTAAGAGTTCAACGTTCTACTACTTGTGGATCGGTTGTTACACATCCTTGATGTATGACTAAATTGTTTAGCTGAGGTATAGGTTATATGCTCAGGCCTACACCGATGACGTAAAGCTGCTGATGTGGAAAAGGCTCGTTGAAGGGTATCGACAGGAAGAGTTAATAATTAATCTGTTGCCTGGAGTTGATACTGTTGTTCAGTTTAGCCGAATGAAGGCTCTTGGTACAACTAGAAAGCTTATCTTCTATGGGAGATAAGTAACTACTCTAAATTACCTAAATTAGTAACTACCCCTTGAGGTCATGCTAAGACCAATAGTAGGGGCGATTGTAACCTTAAGATGCTGACCTTCATATAGTCACTTATGAGTTCTTTTCACCATTCTCCGTTCAGTTTTCTAACTGTGAGGTATGGGTAGAGCAAGAATCAGCGTCCAGGTATCAATTAAGCGTATCGTTCCAAGAACAAAATATGATATAAATGTCAGTTGGTAGTTCAGATTTCCTTCTTAGGTGGCTCTAGGAGTTATCCTAACGGACAAACAGTGTAAGTTGTCATCCTAACCTTTTATATAGATAGATGAGTCACTACATGGGCTTGAACAATGTAAATGTAAATAAAAAAAATTACCTGTGAGAAAGGTTCAAAAACGAAAGTACTTTCATCCGTACTACTACTGGTAGTTTCGTGTTTATTTTCGCAAATAGTTTGGCTCATAGTAAGAATATAACTGTTCTGAAAATCTTCAATCTCTTCCTGGTCCTTATCATCTTCAGTGTTGTCTTTGGGATCACTTTCGGAACTTGTTGATTTAGAATCCAGTTTCAATTTCTTGTTCTTCAAATTTTGCTTATCGGGTTTTTCTTCAGGAATAACTACTTCAGCAGGAATTTTGTCATTTACTCGAAAAGCATCACTTATTTTTTTGATCGGTAATTTACTTCCACATGATCGTAGGAATAAATATAAATGTGGACCTTTTGTTAGCAGCTAAAATTCAAATTATACAATTAAAAAAGAAAGTAAAAAACTTACGATATTTTACGATGTGTATTTAGGTATATCAACAACTGTACAGCAACACACTGATATCCTCAAAGTATATATTGCTAAATAACTATTGTAAAGATACACTAACTTCTTTTAATTGGTGACAGCTTCTGTAATCGCTAGACAAGATCAATATAGTACTATCCTTAAGGTTGCTTTTTTTCATTTCCGCAGGTATCTCAACCTGAAGTATCTCCAATAGAGGCTTCCATTTAGGACATAAATCCGGGTGAAACTCTAAAATGTATCAATAAATTATATTGTAATGTGCACCGTTTTTAACGTACCTTTTTTTTCATTAAAAATAAAGGAACTAACTTGGGAAAATAAAAGTTCTGCAGGTTCCAGAAGAACCCAAGTTGCCTGCTGTGCGTACTCTTTTGAACGATATCCCATCACTGATGAATAATAAGACACTGGATCGGAATGAAACATTGTACTAAAAATCAAAATGTGTTAATTATATAGAGGCCTTTTGCAAAACTCATCAAGTCAAAATTCGCATCTTTTTGAAATCTTTGTAGAGTTTGTTTTCATTCTACAATTTTAAGTTAATATTTTCTGATTGTAAAGAGCCACTATCATAAAAAACGAGAATACAAAATACACATTAAGTTATTTTATTAGTTCCTATAAATGCAAAAACAGAAGTTCATACTTACATCATTAAATGTCTTAACGTTTTTAGATCAGCTACTAATTGTAAACTATTTTTACTTAACTGGTGCCAAATAACATCTAATTGAGCTTGAAGTATCTTGTGAAATTTTTTAGTTAAACAATTCTCTACTGTTATTTCCTAAAACACAAATATATTAATTTATTTGCTTGGCATTCTTCACAACTCTTTAAAATATATATTAACTAAAATCACAGTTTATTATCACTACTATAATATTAATCAATATATTAATATTATTGTTTATTTATTTATTAAATTCCTTTTATTAAGTTCCATTTACATTGGAACAAAATCTAATATATAACATTTTTCAAAGTTAGCATAACATTGGAAAATAATAAGTAAAGTTTAACAAAAACTAATAATTAACTTGAATACAAACTAATATCACACAAATAGCGGTCTTTTATCACATTTTTAAATTGGTCTAAGGACTGGAAAGTCCAGATCACTTTGGTACCTATTATATAGTCTCACCATATGAGTAAGAGGCTTGAAGTATTCATAATGAAATTGATGAAATGGTAGATGAAAGAACGAAGTATGCCTAGTTCCATGAAGAGTGTTAAGACCTAATCGATTTAAAAGTTCATGGCAATTTATCAAATTATTAGCAATTTTTTAAAGGAATATTAGGCAAAAATAATCTTTTCGTCGATTCATAGAAACCATTTTCAAGTGATCAGCTATCATACTATAACTGTATGGGACAGAGAGGTCATGAAAAGCACCACAGTAATGTTAGTATTTACCAAATTTATGCTGAACATGATCAAGCTTGTCTATAGATGTTTGATAGTAAGGTCTCCATACAACTATTGCATATTCTAGTCTGGAGCGAATGAGACTATTAAAAAGAATTGGTAAAACAAAACATGAAAATTGAGAAGTGTTTCTAGTTAAACTCGGTTTCATCGTTCTTAGCGTGTGCCTGAAATAAGCTACTAGGGAATTTTTAATATTCGTCTCTCTCTGATACACAGATGTGTAATTTCATTGTGCGAGTCACGAGAAATGCTAATTTACAATCAAAATAAATACCTAAATCCTTAACACAGTCCTGTCTAGACAGCTGAGTGTTATCAATGCTATAATCGTAATTTAAAATTGTTTGCTTCCTGTGAAAAGTAATATAACACTACACTTATCAATGTTCAATTTTAATTCATTTAGTCTGCACCATTCGCTAACTCTGCTGAGATCCTCTTGTAGCTGAATTTGATCATGCTGACAAGTAATGACTTTATAAATTTTTTTATCATTAGCAAAGTTGAGAAATTTTGAATACTTAATGACTGTCTCAACATCGTTAACAAGAGGACAAAAAGTAGAGCACCACAATGTTTTCCCCTGAGGTACTCCGTAGAGGATGTCAACAGATTGAGACAACACACCATTTATCTTAATGCTCTGAGTGTTACCCACAAGAAAACTGTCATACCAATCAAGCCATTTGCCAGCTATACCAATGGCTCCTAATTTACTGATTAAATGACTCCTTTACAATTATCTCCTTTAATTTTAAGTAAATTGATCAAAATGTAGGAATAAAAGAATAATGGCAGTAAGACATTTGATTACAATAAAATGTATACCTTGGTATGTTCTCGGACGCGACTAGTTCACGTTCGAGACGCATCGCCCCGCCCCTTATTTTTCCCGTTGGCCCCTCCCTGACCTGGAAATCCCTAATCGCTACTTCAGAAAGTATAAAATTAGGCGATTTTCAGGTCAATCAAGTCAGTCCTTCACGGGCTCTCCGAGAGCTTAGTGCTCTCGGGCTCTGCTTCCTTTTTTAGCTTTCAATACTCTGTGGCTGAGTATTTATTCTACTACAATTGGTGTTTTATTTCAACTTTATTTTAACTTAATATTGTTCATGTAAGAAATAACTTGCCTTTATCAAGGCAAGTCACCAAAGAAGACAACCTGATGGTTTATTTCAACGGAGAATTTTCGTCATGTAAGAAATCTCTCGTCTTTATTAAGACGAGCCATCAGGAAACAAAACATTTTGAAGTCCATACCCTGAAAATGGACAAAAGTAGAGGAGCTCACGATGTTTTCGAAGCCTCTCTACAGAGCACACGGTGGTACAGAAGGTAGCAAGACCCTTTCCATTTACCCCGAGGTGACAGGTGTGCTAAATACCATGTTCATTTAAAGAGTAAGATTGTTTTAGGATTTATAGGATTCTAAGATTTTCAAAATAGCCTTTTTTGGTTTATAAGATACTTTGAACCTTCTAAAATAAGAAACAAATTTTTAAAAACCTTGCATAAAACTGTCTTCTTTGAAGTTTAAGTTTTTTATCAAGCAACTTGTTTGTAGACTCTCTCTCTATCAGTAATAGGTCTTATTGACACTAATCAGGGTCCTACATGCTAATTTTTAACACAGCAAGGCAGCTTAGACAGAAATTTCTGTTATTATTTTTTTATTTCTTATACCTCGCTAAAATGTCTGTGGATTCTATAGTAAAAAAGTCTCAACAAGCTAGTAACAGAATTTGACTATAAAAAGTAAGAAAGCTAGAATATATGGGCCCTCTTAGAAAAGAATAAAAATACATATTATTTAGAAACATAATGCAAGACAAAATCTAAGTAATAGGGAATCCAGGAAGAATGACATTGGGGAAAGAATTTAAAAAAATGGTTTGAATGCCCAGAAATATACTCTTCAGATAAGATTAGAGCCTAGTATAATAAAGAAGGATTATATGCCAATACAAAAATTATATGATTAGAAACCTTAACATAAAATACCTGTAATTCTATAGTTTGATTAAGACGTTTCAGTTCCTTTACAGTTAAATTCATTAGATCCAGAATATGTGTCTGCATTCTCTTCATCTTTTCACTTATAGGAATATGTAGTTCTATTACACTTGGCTAAAAAATATATAAACTTAAAATTAAATTTCTAATAGAACAACTGATACATACCTGACGAGCTTTCAGACTTCGTACTATTGTGGAATGGAATCTGGGCCAAATATACAACTCTTTAACAAACAAAGCTCTCATTACTCTATCCACATGCCCATAACCAACTGTAAAACTGTGAACATTATTTGTGAAGCCTTTGATGAAACCAGTCTAAAATATAATGAAACATTGATATTTAAAATTGGTATCTTGAATTTATTTCATAATTGCATAGAAGGGTTTCTACTTATGAGAGCCAATAAAACAATCCCAGGATTAATGCTTAAAACCTTCACATTTTAAAATTATGCATCATCATATGTTACAAGTCTATGAAGATCACAATTACACAGGATATTTTATTCAAGGTTAAGTATATGAAAGTTAAAGAAAAATTGGATAATGGTTATTTTCTTGGAACTGATGAAAATTACTAGATCCAAAAAGCAAAAATAGTAATTTAGGATACTATTAGCCATTCAAATAAAGGAGCATTATTAAAATCTGGCATAGCCTTTATATAAAAGCTGTATTACATTCTATAATATAAAAATGTGTTAATAAAATACATTAATTTACTTACTTTATTATTTTGACGATACAATCTTAGAGCAAAGGCTTCTTGACAACTCTCCAATATTGAATGAGCCTTTAAAACGATAATTCCAGTTATTTTTTCTATTGGTATTCTTTTCTTTAACATATCAACAACTAATACTCGACTAGTCACAAAGTGTATACCTCCAGACAAATAATTATCTTCTCTTTAATAAAAAAATATTATTTACATATACAAATAAGCTGTTTGGGCTTCTTGCTTACTTACCTGTCTTTCGTCAGAGGTGTGCTATTGTAGACATGTGGATCTTTTAATTTCTCTCTATAATACTTTTCCTCTGCCTCAGTACTCTTTAAGACTAAAACTAAATTTCCTTCATCACAGTATACTTTCAATAGATTTAGTATCACTAAATTCAAATTAATTCCTCTGAAAAATATATTTTTTAGTTAAAAATTAAATTTTGTTTTTAATTAATAATTTCTAATATTTAATTCTTACTTAGATGCTACTATTAATCCATCATTATGAATACAGTCTAGGAATATTTTAGTTTCAAACTCTAGCATATATTTTAGATCAGCTTTATCTAATAATTTCTCAGTTTCGTTTAATTGTTCATCCATTGTTGTTGAAAAGGTTGGTATCTTCAATTTTATAATATAATATATTTATTTTTATAGCTATCTAAAATCAAAGGCTAAAAATCATTTTTAAACAAATTCTCAAATCAAAACCACAGTATAAGTTGTTGTCTATACTGTGTCAAAACATTTGAATTAACCTTGTCTAGAGTTTTCTTCTTTTACATCTTTAATTTCCGTGTGCTTTTTGAACTACTTATGAGGCTTGTAAGGTAGAATGTACAGTTCGGTCTATTATCAGAAATATACAACTTTTAATTTTTTTATGTCCCACACAGGTAAATATTAAGTCTTATCAATTTTTATTAAATATTAGAAAATCAAGTTAACATTATTATATTTATTACACATTCAGTACAGTTTTTTGAAATTGATTTGTTCATTGTTCATTATAAGAATGCCTACGCCAATGGAAAGTTTATTTTCCTTCATTTTACCGCCAAAACAAGCACATACAAGTGTCCAAACCTTGAAAAGTTTTTGATTAGATCAGAGTTGTTAATAAATTTGTAAACAAATTGTTATAATTTAGTATTTATTTTGCTCATATAATGGATTGGAATAGGTTTTGTAAAGAACTTTTAGGTCTAAAAGAAAAGTTGAAGTGTCCTATATGGTGGGTGACATAAGTTTAAATTTTCAGCAATATTTAATTGTGATTTGTTTTAGTCTTGATATAGTAGGAGAATGCGCCCAATTGGAATGTTCCCATAGGCTTTGTTCAAACTGTTTTAGTAACCTTAGATCTAGTAATCAAAAAGTATGTCCTTTATGTAAAGCTGTAATAACTAGAAGATTTGTGCCTTATAAAGATGTGTTTGCTGACAAAATTGCAAATTTTGTTTCCATAGCTTGTAGGGACATAGAAGGAAAGGAAGGCTTTTCGAGTAAGTGTTTGTTTTGTATCCAAATAAAAATTGAACATCAAAATATTATGTGTTCAAAATACTGTCTTCTGTCTAATTTAAAAATTAAATATATAAACAAATGAAAGCAGAAATATGGTTTTTTTAAATCCTGTTTAAACTGACTGCCAATAAATATGCATTAAATTGGAATAAACAGATTTCTTTTTGCTGTCTTTTTAATCTATAAGAATAATTGGAATATTACTTCTCTAAATATGTGGTAACCAATATCCATGGGATATTATTTCTTGTGTAGGGCAAGTATACCCATTAACATAACCATTGCCACAATAATATAATGTATAATAATATTGATGGAGCAGAAAAAAATGTTGAAATAATGTATAGGCCACCAAAGAATATGTTAATTTTTCCTTCAGATCTCTACAATGCCATTATCTACTTTATTTAATAACTCATTACAGTCATCTATATTTCCTGATATTTGGAAGGAGAGTTTTGTTGTACTGATATTCAAATGTGGTCAGAAAGAAAACATTGAAAAATATTGAAGTATATGCATTCTGTCTACAATACTTACTCAAATTATTCTATAGTTTGATAGCTAAACAGCTATCTTGGTTGTGCAGTGGACATATCTCAGAGTCTCAGTATTGTTTTTTGCAAAAAAACTACAGCTACTAAGTTGTTTGTTATCAGCCTAAGCTTATGAAAAAAATTGAGGGTTGAAAACCAGATTAAGAGGTATATTGTGCTTTCATAAGTTTATTATTTCTCTAAATGTCTAAATTAAATCTCTATGATGTACAGATTTTTATATTGTAAACTATCATTTTTTTATTTCAGTAGAACAAATAGTCCACCAGAATAAAGAATCTGAAAAAATCCAAAAAACCAACTTACCATCTACTTCCAAACAAAAAAACAATGATAAATGTTTAAATGTAATTCTGAAAAAAGAAAATATAAATAAAAGTAAATGTAATTCAGAAGGAAGAAAGAACAAGCAAAATCAAAGCAACAAGAACCACAAAATAGAATTATTGTCTAAAAATGTTGATAAGGAAATTAAAAACAAACCAGACGAAGAGAAATCTAAAAAATCTTTACTGCAAGTTCAAAAGGAACAGGCGTCGCAAGTGTCGCTATCAAAGGAAGATGCTTTTGATAGATTGCTAAAGCGATCGCAAGAGTTTTTGGTAAACAAAAAGGGTTCCAAGCACAAGTACACCGGGAAGAAAAAACATAAAGATGAAGAATATCAGATTTTGGATTTTCATGATGATTCCAATAAAAATGATGTTCTGCATTGGTTGAATGATAATAGAAATAAATTTGATAGATTAACACAAACACAGGTCAGTATGGAACGCATAGATTACGACACTGGTGATATACCCAACATAGATCTTACATCAGTCTCTCAAATAAATCGAAAGAGGCAAATAAAGGTGCCTGTTCGTCCAGTTAGAAGAGGCAGAGCTAGATCCCTTTCATTAGAAGTTAAACTTAAACGAGAAAAATCTCGTCTATCAGATGGTTTGTATTTTTCTCTTTTTATATACATATTTAAGAAAAGGAAATTTCAAATTTGTTTATGTAGACCTTAAAGTACTAGTTGGTTTTTGTTTATTCTCTGGAAGCCATATTTTCTACATCAGTCATATTGCAGATGTTATTGTACATCCATAAACACACAATTTCTCAGAACTTATATGCTTGTAACTGTTGGCTTGACTTGACTTGACTTAATAAGGATTACTGAGTCAATCAAGAATCCCATGAGTCTACTGGTTAGCCTAGTAATTGTATAGCCCTTAACATAAACTAAAAATCATCTTTTAAATTTCTCAACCTACATTTCTCAGAAATCATTGGTAGTTCGAATAATGCTTTTATATGATCATTTAACCTTGGAGATTCATTTTCGCTTGTATGTGTAAGTTCCAAGCAACATCATAATTTTCGTTGGTAACCCATATACCTGACAGAATCTTGTGTACTGAACCTCTTAGACTTTCTAAGTCTCTAAATTAAAAAAAAAGTAGGAAATTTATTTGGGATATTTTTTGATTCATGTACTACATTTTGAAGAGTGATTTGAGTACATTGAATGTCAGTTTCGTTTGATTTAATAAATTCTAATCTAATCTGCTTCTGAATTGTCTAAATCTTCAATTTGTGTTTGTGTTTTGATACATATCGATAATAGACTATTTTAATTTTCAACGCGTTTTTAGTTGTCTTACTTTATCGTTGGTAAATGTAGTGCTGTCTTTAAATGCTTACATGCATTTTTTAAATCGTTTATCTCTACTTCTACAATTATTGATTCGGATCTATTCTGTAACTTTTGACAAATCGAATAGAAATCACCAAGTTGAATTGTAATTACTCGAAATCGGAATGTTCGATATCTATCGCGTCGTTTTCGTGTTTGGATTGGCATTCTGTAACTTACATCGTAATCGGTGTAAATCGAAAACGTCAACTTCTACTTGACGCGCTCAAGTAGTTTTGAGATGTTTTGGTTAAGTTTGAAAAGTTCGTTACAAGAATACAAAGTGGCAAGCAGAACAGCAAAGAAAAAGACATCTGCTGAGCAGTTAAATTATTTAGTAAACTTTATCTAAATAAATAACACCACATAAAAAATGAAGCAGCTACAAAAATTAATCAACCGCCAATTTATATCAACTAGTCAACAAATAAATGTCAAAACAACCAATGCGCGAGCGTCAAGACCAATTTCGATGTCGAAATTTGATCTTGACAGAGCTTGTTTAGTCGAAATCAATTTCTACACAACATTCCGATAGTAGAGGTCGAGATGAATCACAGAATACCGATTCCTACAAATTCCGATCAGACTTGCTGACCTCTATTCGATTTGACTCATTTCTATTCGATTTGTAGTTACAGAATAGGGCTGATAATAATTATCAATGAATGGAAATATGTTGGATATGTTACTGTATTTATGTTTGGCCCAGGAAATTCACGATGATTTTCTGCGTAAATCTGGAATGGGAAGAAAAAGGAACACTCTTCTGTTGTTGCTTCCTCCGCTTGTTGATTGCTCCTCTTGTTGCTGTCGTAACCGTGGCTTCCCGGGTCCACTATAGCACGATGGCGACCCAGTTCAGTTAGAAATTTAGTCCTGGTGTTTGTGCCAGGGCAAGAACCTGGGTCGTCCGGCTTTTTAAGCCAGTATCATAACCACTGAGTTACGACCGCTACTGACTGGTGAAATCCCCAAACTTTAACAGTCTTAAGAATAAAGCTTAGAAATGTTCATTTTTTGTCACCAATCTTAAGAATTTTGCAATTTTAGGTAGTATTTTGGGTGTTGAAAATTACACAATTGAAGACAACACCGAAGAATATGTCATTAAAAAAGCTGAAGAGAATGTGATAATGCACATCATGGAAGACGAATACCTCAACAAAATGGAAAAGGACTTTATAAAAAAGTCAGCTCCGCCAAAAGAACAACAAACGACTCAGAGTTCGACTACTGGTTGGGAAAGGATAGAAAAAATAACGAAGACGTTGAGGAAAAAAGAAAAAGTTCCTAAAAAACTAAATGTGTCTGTGCAACAGACGCAAACTACGCGTGGAAGGAAAATGCTTGATAAAGTGTTAAGTGAGCGAGATATTAAAAAACAGTCAAACCCCATGAAGGATGATGTCAATAATCCAAATTGTAGTACAGACGAAAGCGATGACGTTATAAGAAAAACAACTAGGGTAGGTTAATGTTTTTTTATAAATATTTAGTTTTCATGTTATCCATATAGTAATCATTAGACTTAGGCAAATATGCAAAAAAAGTGAAAAATATGCTTATGAATATGCAATAATTTACCCAAAAATATGCATTAAATATGCTAAATATTCTTTTAGAAAATATGCATTTTTTTAGAAAATGGTCTATTTCCGAGATGGTCGATTTTCTATAATTGGTCGAGCATCTCCCCAGTATTGATCGTTACGGTATTTAGTAGTCTAGTGAATCACTTTCATATTTTTGTTGAGAACATAATACAAATTTTATTTCTAGCAGCGTAGTACAAGATCTCGCAAATCTGCGAATACTCGCAAATCTGGAGGAACAGAAAATCAAAGTCTTGACAAAGGATCAATCCGTGCTACTGAGGCAGACAACGAAAAAGACAAGGTAATCATCGATATAATAGTTAATTTATTCTAGTCGGATCTTTAACACTTTGACTGCGCACGGCTCTCATGTAAGCCGCATCGTTCTTTTGTCAGATCATCACGGCTCTTTGGTGACCCATAGCTCGTTTAAAATAAACACGTTAGTATTTCAACAGCATCAGATCTACGTGTTTGTGAATCTGTGAGCGTGTTGTTTAGAACATAACCTACCTAAAACTATTAGCCGTTTTAAGTTTTTTTTGAACTGAATATGTAGCAGGCCCATCAGAACCAAAAAAAAAAACGTAAAATACCTTTAAGAACTTTTAAACATATTGCAGAATTCCGATGATGATGATTATTACTCAGATTTTGTTTTAAGTGGTCGAGACTGCGGTTGGGGTGAATCGAATTCGGAAGAGCATACAGATGATGAGGAAGGTAATATAGATAATTGATTTTTATCGTGCTTTGTTACAAAAAAAAAATTAGGTGCAATTGATGATATATCCATTCTGAAGTGATTACTCAAGTAGTACCTAATAATAATTGAGTGTTTAAATAGTTCTTGCATTAATATAGAGTTAAAGTGGATTTTCACAGGTCCGATATCCGACGGTACGATGATACAATATAAATTTCACCGAATTTCATTGGTTGAAAAATGCCAGGTGGGATTTTCGTACGAAATTAAAAGTCATTTTAGCTTTTGCACGAAAATCGGATGAATTTTGACATTGTTGACATTTTAACTTGAACTTTAACCTTACTTTTGTGGAGTGTTTATGTTTACTATTTGAAATATATTTAAAATGGAACAAAGACCTAATTATTATATAAAAATGCAATAAATAAAGTGTTGCTTTTGTGTCTTCTACACTATGTGAGGCAAAAACGACGAAAAAGTAGCTCAATATAATATATATTTTATCAAACAAAACAGCTAACATTTATTGATAGTTCATTGAAATAAATATCAATCGATCCAATAATCTCACACATAACACATATATTATGACATATATGCATCGAGCAAAAAGACAAAAGAGGGAATGTAAAGGTAGTGGGGGCGAAAATATTGTTAGACAGGAAGTGCGATCTTTAAAGGCCACATTAAACAAGGAAAGAGAGTCTCTCTCCTTGTTTGACATCAAATTTAGTTGGGTTATGTTATTGTTTGTCTCAAATGTCACATGAAATCTTATTTATATTGAAGTTTTTTAACAATTGTGTCGCATTTTAGACTATTACCGTTAATAATTAATTAAAACTTTCTCGTCTAAGACACATTCTGAAAAATATTATGTAGCTACAGTTAATAAGTGTCGGAAAATTTAAATTTGGCGCATTCGCATTTCCGGATATGTCCGCCATCAGAGGCCACTTTTTTGGTCTCCTTTTCCTAAGGATTAGATTCCCTCTTTTGTATTTTTGCTCGATGCATATATGTCGAAAAATTTCGGATGCGACAATCAAATATATTCGTACGAAAAAATTTCGTATTTCGTGCCATCGGATATCGGATCTGTGAAAATCCAGCTTTAGTAACATACCATAATCCCTACGGTCACCTATGGGATATCTTCTTCTTATTATTCTTCCCCTTTATAAGCAATTCTACTTGTTCATTAGCGGATTAATACCTCTATGGAAGGTTATCACTCCATATTTTGCGCGGTCGTCCGATACTCCTTCTGTCGACTGATGACTTATTTCTTGCTATTTTGACGACACGGGTTTCCTCCATTCTGCTTATGTGGTTATTCCCTTCTTTTTTCTATTTTGTGTCCAATTATTTATACACTGTACGCTACATTTTCTTATAATGTTTTTACTGCTTTTTCGATCTCTCAGCGTATTTCCTGTAATTCTTCTCAATACTCTCATCTCTGCCGTTTCCAGTAGCCTTTGCGTTGTGGCTGTGTCGGGTCTTGTTTCTGAGGCATATGTCATTATTGGTCTTACATTGGTTTTTCTATTCTGATTAGGCCCAAAGCAGCCTAACAGTTCTTCGCCGCTTTTTACCACAGTCCATGTCTCTGACGCGTATGTCAGGACAAGTTTAATAAGAGTTTCATATATTAGTATCTTGGTTTTTCTGCTAATTATGTGTGATGTTAAGAACTGCTTTAGTCCAAAGTAAGCACTGTTCGCCAGGTATATTCTTCAATAATTTCTATAATTTTCTTGTAAAAACCCTAAAATCCCCGAGAATAACTAAGTACATGGTATATATTTGGCGCCCAACGTGGGGCTTAATTAAAGTGCTACACTGTTAATAAATATTGTAATATTGTTTGCTGTTTTGAATAGAAAATTATTAGAAAGAAGTGTAACAATATGCTAAAAGTGTTTGTGCTATCTGAAACCACAATTATGAAAAAATTTTTTTTTTACAAATTTTGGAATATTTTAAAAAATTTATTCGTCCTTGAGGTCTTTTCGATTTAGAAATTGTAGTAGTTCGCTTGATGAGAAAACTGACAAAAATTTTTTGAACTTTTGAAATACTTTAGAACGAAAAAGTTGATAAAAAGGAAGTACCAGGTTAGGAAAAGACAAAAAATTTATCGGAGATGCGTCCTTTATAGATTAAAAACAAATTTATATTGGGAGAAAACTTAATATTAGAGTATGCCGAGATATTAGATATTTCTTGATTTTCTTCAAGATTTATAACGAGTTTTGTTGTCATCATAATTGGATATGACGTAATATTTGGTATTAATAAACACTAATCATACATTTACGTCAAGGACTCTAGATTTCGTGTTATCAAATGCACTATTCTTAAATAAGGTGATCCCAAAAAAGCATATCAAAACTATTGAAAATAATATTTTAAATACTTTTACTTTAAAATGTGTAATACCTTGTTTAAATTATCAACTGTACCTGAGGAAGATTTAAATTAATTTAGAGAAGGATAATTACTTGGTGTACAATGTAATAACACAAACTATTATATGTAATATAAAAAATGTTGAATGTTGAAAACGGCTGCTCCTGTAAACCAAAAAAATCAAATAAAAAATTTTTTTCATTTATATTTTATAAGGTCCAATTAAATATTGATCGCATTATATATTATACTTGCAGTTAAATTGATCAATGTATTTTCAAGTTTGGTGTTTATATTTTCCAAAATTAATATTTGTATTTTAGGATCTACATCGCATTGAAATCAAAGCAGTTATCCATAAAAGTGCTGATACAAACCAAATTGATAATATGAAAGTAAAAGAGGTAAGTTTTAGTGAATTTATTAGTTAGCAAGTATATTAAATGTGTTATGATAGTGAGACTTTTATTGGACTTGTTGATATTGGAGACTTTTAATTAACTTTTTGAAAACTGGCCAATCACTCGGTGCCGTAGAAAATATAAATAAATAACCTTTAAAATGGTATATCACATGTTATCTCTTTCTACTTAAGTCTTTAGGCTGCAGATCATCCCCAGTTTGGGTGTTGAAACTTGAGAATTATTATACAGTATACTCCCTCTATAACGAACACGGTTATTGCGAGGTTTCGCTTATCACAAGTTACATTAGATGTCTTGTGAAATTTCTATTGAACTTTAACCTTCTATAGCGAGACAAATTTGGTTAACAACGAGAGAAAAGAAGAGAGAAGATAACTACCGACCGATAGTGTTGTTAAAAATTTAAAATTTATGATTCACAAGTGTTAGTGTAGGGGTTGACCATTCGCACCTATTAAACTACGTAAAGATGCTTAAAAACATGACAAATGAAACAAATTTCACCAGAATTTCATTTCACAGTTGTTTTTTTACATAGTCACAAATTACACACTAACTACTCCTAAAAGAAAAGTTTTTACTTTAGAAGAAAAAATTAACGTTCTTAAGGATTTTGAGAACGGTAAAAAGAAAGCAGAAGTTTGTCATGAAAGAGGAATTTCAAGTTCCACTCTATCTACCATGCTCAAAACTGTTACGTTTACTGTAAACGCTGCGAATGTTCAATAAGTGGACCACTACTTCAAGAAAAAGCAACACAGTTTTTGCAGGCGCTAGGTGGTAATGGGAACTTTAAAGCATCAAGTGGGTGGATGAGCCGTTTTAAGGCCGGATTAATGAAATTACGTGTGGAACAATTTGCGCTAAAGCAAAGTGTGTTTCCAAAGAAGTCACCGACAACTGGTTGAAGTCATGGCCTACAATAAGCCAAATTTACAGTGACGATAATGTTATCAATGCCGACGAGCTGGGACTTTTTTTTTAAACTTACTCCAGATAATACCCTCAAATTAAAAAATATGAACATTGTATAGGTGACAAGTTATCAAAATAAAGGGTAACTGTACTCGTAACATGTCCGGTTTCGAAAAAATGACGTTAGTCGTCATTCAAAAACCACGAAGTTTCAGAGGTGTGAATCGGCTTCCTGTCGGATATATATTTAATAAAAAATCGTGGATGACAGCAGAGCTTTTTAGTGGAAAACTTTTGAAGTGGGACAGAGAGTTTAGACATCGAAAGATTCTTTTAATTGTTGACAATTGTACAGCCCATCCGAAAGTTAACGGTTTAAAAAACACTCAACTTCTTTTTTTACCCCCAAATAACATGTTTCATTATTTTTTGTTAGAGTCCAGGACTCTGAACCATATGTTAGGACTGGGCGTATTATTATTTTGTAGAGTTTTATTTTTGTATTTCTCGATATAATTGTAGATTTTTAAGTAGGAGATTGAGCCCAAAATAGCATCTGTTAGCCGTGCAAATTCTGCGGTTTATCTCTATGGTAGTATTATGTTCAGTGTTAAGGAGCGCTCCTAGATATTCAAAATGGTTCACTGCTTCGATGACATCGTTTTCTATAACAAGTGGTCGTAGGATTTGTGGTTGCATGCGTATTTTCATATACTTCGTTTTGTTGCTGTTTATTATTCAACCCATTTTTGTAGCTGATTCTTTTAATGCAAATGTTGGAAGTTCTTCACACAAAAGTATTCAAAAAACAGTTTGTTATAGATGAATTATCAAAACATGATGGCCATATTATATTGCAATTACTTCCTTATTACTGTGTTTTGAACAACTTAAGGGAAGTTTATGCGAAACAACTGCTGTCTCAAATTTAGTAGCCATTAATTCTTTAATTTGTTCATTTCTCTTATCTCATTGTACACAATAACATACCTACAACTACATAGATATAAATACAGGTTGAGTTTACCGAAAGCACAAGCTGAATATAGCCGCAAATATCAACCATGAAATAAAATATTTCGGTTTGGCAGAGTTGGCATGTTTTTATATTGCGTATGTTGTATGCTTTAAATATAAAGAGGGAAAGCTTTTAAAAAGTACACTTTGATTATATTATTTTATGAATTCTGCAATTTTTAATTTATATGAAGCGATAACGAGTAAATATTTGTCTCTTTCCAGATTAATTGCAAACATCTGTTGCAGTCTGGCAACTGCTAATTTGACGATTGCCAAATCTATCCCCTAATCTATCAAAGGGTAATTGCCAAAAAAAATTTCTAATGATTAACTGCAATTAATCTCCAAAGAAACAAATATGTACTCGTTCTTGTTTTATATAAATCAAAAATTGCAGAATTCAGAACATAATATAAACAAAATGTACTTTTCTAAAACTTTACCTTTTTATGGATGCCTTTGGGAAGGGGGTCAGGTCGATGTGATCTATACCGACTTCTCAAAGACATTCGATCGTGTTAACATCAAGATTCTTATAAAAAAATCTAGAGGTACTAGGAATTCATGGATCCCTGCTTGAGTGGTTGGAGAGCTACCTGACAGGCAGGCTTCAGGTTGTCAAAGTCAAGAACTGTCTTTCTGAAGAGATTTTGGTTAGGTCTGGCGTCCTACAAGGTGGTCATTTATTGACTATTCTTTTTATTTGTTTCATAAATGACATTTTAGAAATCTTTGAAAATTGTGTTATTTATAGTTCCACGCTGTTCTCCGAGTGCAGAGGTACCCTCTCACCGGCTCTGGAACCAGATTGAGCCATGTGTTACCTATAGTCTAATTTAATACTGAATATCACAGTTATTTTACAACAAAATGTACAACATTTCATAACTAAATGTAATTTAAAGGGTTTTTACCCTAGTATTTTGGTGGCTCAGGCATTGTGACCTAGCATTTTTCGATTTTAAAAACCTGATGATGGACTGTGTGGTCCGAAAACGTTTGTTTTATTGATGTGGCCCTTTTAAGGGTTTTTTAAATAAATGTACCCATTTACAAAGATTAACCTCTTTTTGTGTTATTTTGTTTTATGCTGATGATTTGAAAATTTTTAGAATTATTAAGGATGTTAGAGACTGTAAAAATGCAAAAAGATGTAAACAATGTCTCAAAATGGTGTACAAAGAATTACCTTTCACTTAATATCGATAAATGTAAAATAATGCGCTTTTTTAGAAACTCACAACCTATCTGTTTTAATTACTCTATAAATAATATATTTCTGGAACCAACAAACACTTTCAAAGATTTAGGTGTATTTTTTGATCCCACTTTATGTTTCAAAAATCACTATAATTTTATATGTAATAAAGCTTTTAAATTACTTGGATTTTTGAAAAGAACCTTGTCAGAATTCAATAAAGATTGTTTTAAAAGTGTGTATTGTTCTATGGTTAGATCAGTTCTGGAATATTCCAGCACTATTTGGTCTCCTTTATATAAATGTCATATTGAAAGCATTGAGAAAGTTCCGAAACATTTTTTGCGCTTTGTAAGCTATAAATTAGGAATTTCTTCAGAAGATATAGTGTATTGTGACATTTTAAAATTACTTAATATACCAACATTAGAAAATCGTCGTTTAATGCTAGATTTGGTTTTCCTTTGGTTTTCTCAAATTTTGCAGAGAATAGGTCTTAGGGTTCCTCAAAGGTGCACAAAATCCAAGGACGTTTTTCACTTAGAATTCCAACAAACAAACTATTGTCTAAATAGACCTTTAAGACGAATGTGTCAATCTGGAAATGGTTTAGATGTAGACTTTTTTTCTAGCTCTCTGAATAGTTTTCGAAAAAAGCTGAAAAATCTTTTTAAAATACAATGTAGGCTGTCACTGTAAACTGTCATTTAGGTATTTATTCTATTTATTTGTCTTGTGTAAATTGTATGTAATTATTATTGAATTCTAAAACTGTTAATATGATATGATTTATTTAATGATTGTAATGATTGTAATTGGTATAACCGTAAATAAACTATTTATTTATTTATTTATATTTTAAGCATGCAGCATCTACATTATAAAAATATGCCAACACTGCTAAACCGAAATTTTTTGTTCCATGTGTGACATTTGCGGCTATAATCAGCTAGTACTTTCGGTAAACTCAACCTAAATACATATTAAATATATTTAATTTTATATTTATTATTCCAACCCTATTAAAATATTACATGTACTTGAACTTTTTTGTTAATTTTAGCGAATCCGCTCCTGAAGGGTTTGTGGTTTGTTATTATAATACTAAATCGGTTGGGTGATTCCACCAGCTTCAGACAAAATTTCTTATATCTAGACGAAAACTATAGCTAGAAAGATTTTGTTTTCTTGTGAAAAAAAAAACTTTCAAAAAATGATAACTGTATGAAAAATGTGTCAATAAACAGTACAACTAATAAAATGGCCAAAATAGTTGAAAAAACTTTTATATACAATATTAATTATGTCAATATTCAAAATCATAAAGATGGATATATTTGTCTAATTTTAACTGTTATATTATTTTCTAGATTACAGAGAATTCTAAAGAAAGCATAGATCCTAAACAGAAATCTCCAAAAAAATTATACGATCTGAAAGATTTTGAGCAATATGCACAAACCAACATTAAAAGAGTACCTGACAGTCTCAACGAAACAACATCATCACATAACTCTGACAAGGAAAATATGTTAAACGCTGCTAACGCACCCAAACAGATCGTTATATTAGATAATGTTTTAATTAAACAACCGCAAGAGGACAATCCCTACTTACTGCCAACACAAAAAATAAATATTTCTGACCATAATGAAACATGTATGGATATAGACCATGATATAAATTTGGACAAAGAAGCAAGAAACGATTCAGTTGAACAGAATGAATCATTTCACGAGTTTAACGATTTTAGCGAGGGTATGAATAAGCTATTAAAAAACCTGGAGATGTATTCAGAAAATCTTAATAAAAACAAACATATAACTAAAAGACAAATCGAGAATATACAAAAATATTTAGAAAAACTAAATATAATTCATAAAAACATGGAAAAGAATGTTCCAGTTATACCCGAACGTACAGATCGGAATGTTCAAACTGAGAAGAACGTTGTAGAATGTGCAATACAAACCGTGGACGAAAAGCAAACGCCATCAAATACATTATGCAAGAACTGCAATAAAAAAACTATCTCTAAGCTAAACAGTAGTTCCTCAAGTTCTAAAACGCGGTCCAGTTCGCGAATAAACAGCGGAAAAAGTACTAAAGTAACGCCAATTGACGACTTTGCCGGTACTCTGGTACTCAACTTTGAGACGCAAGATATAGAAAAACAATTTGTAGACAAGATTGAAGACATGGCGAGTTCTACCAAAATTAAAGATATCGATGTTGTTACGGAAGCTGAAAATCAGACGGAGGTTACGTCTAACCAAGGTGATACAGTGGGTAAGTTTTTTTCTACTTGTATATTAGCAAAAAATATAATGAAACCACTCACTCAGATATTAAAGTCATTAACTTTATTTAATCAGTCATCAAAACTATTAATTAAGTAGAGAATCTTAGGATCTGATTATTTCATGATTCTGCTTTTCATTTATTTCATCACAAACACTCCACTAAAGTGAAACAAATCAAAAACAGAATCATCAAACGGATACTTCATTCACCAATGATAATATAATAAAGATATTGAAATACTAAACAAATTATTTATCATCCATTCTTACTCAAACACATTAATTAGGAAGATCTTGGTTAACACAGTTCATAATGAAAATCTAATAACTTCCTCCGCGATTAACACTGTTAATCTTGATGGCTCAAGCAAATACAGGGTTTCTAATACTCCAACTTTAAATAGATATTTCGCAATACCTTATATCAAAGATAATACTCCAGGGTTGACTAGGAAACTGAATAAATTAGAAAATAATAACAGTAACAATGATAATTGTTTTAAAATGTGTGGCTCACAGATCAGCTTCAACAGTTAACAGCCTTTTATCAAAAATTATTGATATAAAACACAAAAAGATAAGCTTAGTAACATTGTCTACAGCATTCCCTTTCTTCATGTAATAAATCGTACATTGGTCAAAGATCTCAACTACCCAAATCGAGGATCACTCTCCATAAAAGTGATTCACGCCTTCGTCTAGACCGTTGTGCATTAGTAGCAAGTTTTGATTTTGTTCTTATGAGTTGTGTGAAAATTAGAGCTTATGTTTTGATTAAGCCTCTTTTTTTGATTTATTTTTAAATTAAGAGCAATATTTTTTTTAGCGGATCAATCAAAAACAAAGAACATTAGTATCAGTGAACAATTAGAAAAAGAAGATAATACTGTTCTCGTTTGTACGATGAAGTCGGAAGGTCCTGACAGTAAAGGACACGTTAGTTTGAAACGAAAGTTATCTGACAGCGATAGCGAGATTGTTGCGGTTCCCAAAAAGCGTTGCAATAGGTTCATACGTGATGACCTGTCTGTAGAATTTGGTAATTCGGAAAATCCAAATAATTACACAAATAACAAGAAAAGTAGTTTCCCTGGTGAAATATCATCACCCGAAACCAATGAGGATGACGATGTAAGTTGGTCTTTAGTTATATCAATTTTACTACTATTATTCGCAGGTCACCATTTCAGTAACTTGACATTCAATATTCATTTCAACATTGAACGTATACCCATCTAAACTATGGTGCCTCATTTTGAGTTTTTTGAGAATTTCATTGAAATTATATGTCGAAAAAGGCTATCTCACATCCTCTTTTGTTTTTGCTTGCAAAGAAATTTTCGTTATTCTTTTGTGGATATTACACCAAAAATTAATTGTCACATACATTCATGAAGTGTACTCGGCACGTATTTCTCTCAGAATTCTTAAAAATGTGTTTATTTTTAGTTAAATTATTCATCGTCATCATTAGCTCTACAACGATTTGTCTGCTCTTTTCCTTGCTTTATTTTTCCAGTTGGTAATCTTTAGAAATATTTAATTTAATAATCTTTACATATTGACATATATATTTAATCGGTTTTAAAACGTCTTGCGACGTTGTCCGATGTCTAATTTCCATGACATTCTATCATTCCATTGGCCCTCTCTAAGATCTCTTGCGCTCATCGCCTTCGTTACTCCCTCTCTCCAAGATTTCTTGAGTCTGCCTCTCTTTCTTCGGTTTGGTGGTACCCATTGCATAATTATTTTTGGGAGTCTTGACTAATCCATCCTCTGGACGTGTCCGTTCCATATCAGCTGTTTTCTTTCTATGTCTGTTGTTAGAGAGCCATATGTCTCTCTCTCTCTCTCTCTCTCTCTCTCTCTCTCTCTCTCTCTCTCTCTCTCTCTCTCTCTCTCTCTCTCTCTCTCTCTCTCTCTCTCTCTCTCTCTCTCTCTCTCTCTCTCTCTCTCTCTCTCTCTCTCTCTCTCTCTCTCTCTCTCTCTCTCTCTCTCTCTCTCTCTCTCTCTCTCTCTCTCTCTCTCTCTCTCTCTCTCTCTCTCTCTCTCTCTCTCTCTCTCTCTCTCTCTCTCTCTCTCTCTCTCTCTCTCTCTCTCTCTCTCTCTCTCTCTCTCTCTCTCTCTCTCTCTCTCTCTCTCTCTCTCTCTCTCTCTCTCTCTCTCTCTCTCTCTCTCTCTCTCTCTCTCTCTCTCTCTCTCTCTCTCTCTCTCTCTCTCTCTCTCTCTCTCTCTCTCTCTCTCTCTCTCTCTCTCTCTCTCTCTCTCTCTCTCTCTCTCTCTCTCTCTCTCTCTCTCTCTCTCTCTCTCTCTCTCTCTCTCTCTCTCTCTCTCTCTCTCTCTCTCTCTCTCTCTCTCTCTCTCTCTCTCTCTCTCTCTCTCTCTCTCTCTCTCTCTCTCTCTCTCTCTCTCTCTCTCTCTCTCTCTCTCTCTCTCTCTCTCTCTCTCTCTCTCTCTCTCTCTCTCTCTCTCTCTCTCTCTCTCTCTCTCTCTGTGATCTCTCTCTCGTTCTCTCTCTCTATTAATTCTCTTCTCTTTCTCTCTCCCCATTTTCTTATAATTTCTCTTGTAATATGTACTCCAGATCATCTTTATCGTTTGCTATAACAACCTGGTCATCAGCAAACTGCAATGTGTACAAGCAAATCTCTCCAAGGTTTACGCCCATGCCTCTGCATTTTCGTTTCCACTCTTTCAATGCTCATATATTTTAAACGAGGTCGGTGATACACAACACCCCTGACGTTGACCTTTATTAACTAGGAAGCTTTGTGATAGTCTGTTTCCATTTTTTTATTTGCGATTTTGACCCTTCATACAAATTTCTTAAGGCGACACTAATATTCGTCTGTCGTAACACACAATAACCGTGAGATGGGTTTTTTGATTTGTGCTTAATTTTTTTTCTATTGGTTGTTTGAGGCGGAAGATATTATCAGTACAGCTTCTTCTTGTTCGAAAACTGGATTGTTCTTCTTCCTCTTGGTCTTTGTGTTCCTTCTCAATGCGGTCTCTAATTATTCGTACATACAAACGGCTGAATATACTAGTGACTGATATCCCTCTATAGTTTTCACATTTAATCTCCTTTCTTATGGATCGACGAAATATAAGCAATTTTCCACTCGTCGGGTACGGGAGAACCATTTATAAATTGATTTATGCACCAAGTGACGGTTTCAAACAATTTTTGTGATCCATATTTTATTAGTTCGGCTGGGATATCCCCTGGTCCTGGAGACCTACCGTTTTTCAGTTCTTTTATAGCTTTTCTAATGTCTGTCACTTGTATTGTTATATCTTCTCCTTCAATATTAATCTCTGTTGGTGATTGAGTTAAGCATTCGTCCCTATTTTCTATCAGTATTTCCCAATAGTACTTTTCCCATTTTTGTGTGGATATTAATTGAATGTTTGTGCTCTTCCTTTCGTTAGTTCTTATTTTACTGAGGAACTTCCATGTTTCTGTACATTTTCTGCCTCCCAGGTAGGTATTAATTTCCTGGCACTTTTTATCCCACATTTCTCTTTTTGCTTTTACTGTTGTTCTTCTTGTTATTCTTTTGAGTTCCAGGTATTCATCTCTATCTTTTTGTTGTTAACTGCCCAGCCATCTGATCTACGCTTGCTTTTTCTCTTCTATGAGTGCTTCTATTTCTTTGTTCCACCACAGTTTTCACTTTGTCTTTGAGTGTTAGAGCCGAGTGCTTTTTCTGCAGCTTTTTTAACGCTAACGACTACGTTTTTATATACCTCCTCTACTGTTGATGTTTCAGTTTTATTCATTAGTTTGCCATCCAGTCTTTGTTGATATAGTTTTCTTGTACTTTCTTGGGCCAAACTATCCAAATTATAACTTCTTTTCTCCAAAGTTTCTTCTTGTTGGGGTTGACAATTTGTTTGATTATGTGTTATTTTATATCTAAATGGACAGGTTACTTTTGATTTTACGACATAATGATCTGAACCACATGTTATTCCTCTGTATGCCCTTGTGTCCTGTACTTGCATATTAGTATTTTGTTTTATGATGACATAGTCTATAATTGATTTTAGATTTCTTGTAGTTTGGGTTCAGGTGTACTTGTGCACATCTCTATGTTAAAAAAATCCATTGGTTATTTTTAATTGATGGTTTTCACATATTTCAATTAGCCTCGCACCATTATCATTCTGGTTTATTTCTCCGTAAGGACCTACCACCTTATTATCTACTTTAAGACCTACTCTTCTGTTCAGGTCTCCCATAACTACCAATTCTCTTCTATTTCCAATTTTCGTAATTTCGTTGTTAACTTTAGCAAAGAACTCATCTTTGTTTGTGTAAGGTTCATCATCACTGATTGCATAAATCCCAAGTATCGTAATAGGTGTTTCTTTCATCGTTATGTTTATTCTTATTATATTTTCGTCTATTGCTTCAAAGTCGGTGATTTTATGTTTATGTTTTTTTGTGTATTAGAACGGATACTCCTCGTTTAGCTCTCTCATATTTTGAAACTCCGCTGAATATATGTACATAATTGTTTACTTTTTCTATACCTATTCCTTTCTTCTTTGTTTTGGTTAAGACAACTATATCCATACCTAGTTTTTTTTTTTTAATTTTTTCAGTTATTTCTTCCATCTTTCTGCTGATACTCTGCACATTCCAGGTGCCAATCTTCATAATCATTTTCCGTCGCCAAAGTAGTTTATTATTTAATCTGTCCGAGATTCCGTGCAGGGAACCGACCTGACGTCTTAACCCCCCACATGGAGGACCGGGTAATTTGTAATCAAGGTGTTCTTCCTTTAGACTAGTTGTCTTCCAGGACTATAGAGACTAGTCTTCCCTTAACTCGGTTCTTCCGCTTTCGGGACCATTGGATTTCTCTCGTCCACTCCGAGCAAATCTCGTTTACTCCGTCCACCGTTGACCTTTGCCTGTAATCCTAGGCAGGAGCCCTTATAGGGTACTATCATCTGGCCCAGATGAACTCTGTTTTTTTACGAGGTTGTTACTCCTCCCCCATCCTCCTTTATCCGGGCTTGGGACCAGCAACATAACAGCTGAACTACTCATTTCACCCAACCGTCATGCAGGCGGAGTTTAATCTTTACATATATAATAGTAAATATCAGAAATATTTTAGGAGTATCTCAACAAGCTTTTGAAAAAGTACGAAACTGGTGTAGCGGAATCCGACTCTTCACCGCCGTCCGATAAAGAAAACGTGAATAGGGAATTAGAAGAAATGAATATGGATTTTGAAAACCTTATAGCTCGCTTAAACAGAAACGTGGAGACGTTACCCAAAACCAAAGAAGGAACAGAATCACAACGTTCAAAAACTGTTTTAGATAACGATAACTTACTTCTAAATCACCAAAGCCTTCCAAAATTAGACAGCGACGTACAATACAAAGAATCAGAAAATTCTGATATCATTCCAGAAACTGAAACTATGGAACCTTTACCGAAGAAAACGAAAAGAAGATTAAACGATGTGTTTATAAAAGAAAATTCAGAAGAAAAACCTTTGCATAAAGAAAATACAATCGTTTCAAAGACCAGTAAAGAAACCTTCTGTCATGAATTGGAAGATAGCTTTGATGGTGTCGATTTTGCGAATATAAATATTGAAGAAGCTGTTAATGATGTTAATAACACTAAGAATTGTAAAGAGAACGAAGAAGATTTGTTTTCCGATGATGATATTGTAGAGACAACACCGCAGAAAGAAGTGGAGGTTACCGAAAAAAGGTAAGACTTTTTAAAATATTTTAATTGACAAACTTTTTACTTAAGGCGAAATTAAATACCTTTATAGAGTGATTCTTTTTGAGTTTCAATTAGACGTTTGATAGAAACTGACATAATAAATATTTGAAAGTTTAATGATAAGGGGTTTTTAAATATGTCCAATTATTCTAAAATATTTACAGCCTCTTACCACTTACGGTTATACTAGTTAAGTTGACTAAATCTCTCTTATTTTAAATTTAATACCCTGCGTATTATTACACATTTCGATAGAATAGCTCTTAAGAACTCTCTCAATATAAGGTTATGATACCTTATACCGAGTGTTTTGCGAGATCTGACCAATTTTATTTTGAAACAGTGTCCGATTCGACACCCGGTATCTTTATAAATAAAAAAAAGGATGTAGCACTCCGGGAGTCACCGAGGAGAGGAAGCCTAGCTTTCTTATCGTCTAAGCAAGGAGCGATTTACTTTAATTTATTTTAATCTATTCTATTTTATTTTATTTCTATTCGATTCTATAATTCGGTAATCGATTCGATTCGATATTTAATTCGATGCGATTCCATAGTTGATTCGATTTGATTAGGTTCGATAATCTATTCGATTTGATTCAATATTTGATTATATTCGATATTTGATTCGATTCGATCGATTAATATTGCTTTTTAAACTGAAATGGACCACAGGAGTGATGACGTAGATTTGATTGACATCTGCCAGTTTCACTTTCCAAACAAACCTTGTTTAGTGTGGATAATTTGTATTTTTCGTTATTTTTTCATTTATTTTATAGAATCTTTCCGCTTTTTGCAATATTTAAGTATTCTAATAGTTACTACAACAATTTTACAAGGTTGTGTAAATAATAAAGCACATTGTTTTATGCTAATAGGAATAAAATGAAAGTATCAATAAAGTAAGGTTAAAATTTCTTTAATTAAACTTTTAAACCATATTTCATAGAAATAGAACTCTGAATTATGACGGTATTATCGTAAAAACACTATACTTACAAGAAAAAGCAGCAGAGGAAGCAAAATGTTAACTTTATAGGAATTAAAAATTTTTGAGATTTGACATTTCAACGTTTGTTTGGAAATTAATCATGACAATGTGACGTCACACTCCTGCGGTCCATTTCAAATATTGTTAATATCTAAAGTCGTTGTGACTGAACGTAACCCATTATACATATTCTGCACTACGTGTGGCTTAACTTTTACAATAATAGTCTGGCAAATGTATTATATTTCTGCAAAATTTTGGAATGGGTTTAATTCGTAGAACAATTTTAACATTTGAGACGTTTAGATGCAAAACCGGACATGTCATAGTTAAGTAATTTAGAGAAAAACGCAAAAAACTGTAGAATAAAACTTTATGGGTATTTTTAACGTTTTTTTTTACTATGAGGAAGATTGCACACGAATCTTTATAACTGAAAAGAAGAATTAGCCTATCTTTACTGATTAATAATCTACACGTTTATTAAGGTTACTTGCGTCCGAGTTTGCAACAAAAATTTGGATATGTCCTGCTTTGAAACTTATATGACAAAGCGATGGGAAAATTAATAATGAGATTTTTTTTACTTTGACAGTTATTCTATTAAAAAGACAAAATGAACAAGATGTTTTTTTTTTTGTTAAAAAAGAACAATTTTTATATTAAACATGGAATATTATTGTTCTTCTAAATATTCGCATGGTGGATTGTTATCATCATTATCGTTATGTTCAGTGGTGTGTTGGTCTTGACCACTATCGAGAATGTTTCTGTAAAAATCACATTCAGGCATAGATGACCAATCATTAGCAAAATGACAGCATAATAATGTCTCGATATCATTCTCCTTTTTAAACTCCAGTGGAACACTAATTTGCAGTTCTGCAAATATTTGGGATATTTTTTTACCTTTTTTAGTAATAGGCAATGCATTTGACGCAGAAGAATAATAATTTATTTCTCCCATTATAAGGATGAACGGTTTAATATAAGGCGTTTTATTTGGAAAATCTTGAAATGTAATGAACTGGGTGCTTTAATGAATGCATCAGCTTCTTTTTTCCAATCCTGGACAATCCAGTATTTTTTAATAAAAACAATGTTGCCTGCTCCTCAAAAACTGCATAATATGTATCAGGAGTTAATATGGTGTCTATCTGTCTCAATTTTTCTCACTGACACCAAATACTTGATCAGGAGGTATATAGGAATGACCTGTTACCGGAAATATGACCTGAAGTTTAATTACGTTCTTGGGAGCTTCATGGAGCCATTTTGCACAGTGTCAGTCATAGTAGGCTTATTCCTTTTCAGACAATTATACTGCTGACGCAATTTCATTTGATCCTTTGTATCGTCCATGTTCCATCCAAGAGTAGACATATACATTATTTTTGTTTACGTTTCGCTTTGAAGAACCTTTAACAGCGGTGAAATTATATAGATAATTTTTCGACTGTTCTAACAACCATTCAAATTTCGTCATTTTGTGTCATGTGGAACAATGTCACCCAATCATGTCAACATTAGACTGATAATTGCATTCAGTGCAATTTTCAATCCCTATGACAACACGATCGAGTTCAACTTCATCCAAATAAATTTCAAAATGTCACATTTTTCACCACAACAAGACTATAAATATTATGCGTGGTAATCATGGACGTATAAACATAGATGGACACAGCAATAAGATACCTTTAACCCACAATGTTTTGAAGCTTCGATAGAATGTGATGCTTCCGCAATGAGCATAAGCGTGCTTGAATTTTTACTCGCGGGTAATTATTCAGATTTTAAAAATTGGAAGTAGTAATAATGTATAAAAACACGTTCAAATAATTTAAAAAAACGATAGTTTAACTATTAACAAATCACGTCTTTATAGAAAAATTAAAATACAATTTTATTTGCTTTAAAATTAATACAATTAAATATAGTTGAATTCAAGTTAATTTTTTAATAGTATCAAAATAATGCTACAATAAAAAATCTTTATGTTTTCTCCTTAATTTGCTACCCAAATAGTTCGATCGTCAATATTATTTGGAAACCTACATAGAAAAATAAATGAGTTTTATTCATTTCACTAATTTATTTGTATCCATGAGAAATATTAAATTAAAAAGGTACTAAACAGATCTTTTTTAATCAGATGTTGTCTACTTACAATTTATAAATGTCTACTAATTTCATGAACTCATATCTTATTCAATACATTAATGAACATGAATAAACCCAATGGTACGCCTATTAAAATGTAAACAAACACGCTTCTTCATTTCCTCATCTTAAATAATGTAAATTGTATGTACTTACAAATGAAATGAGAGATCGGGATGTAAATATTTCGTTTATTTTATTTCACTTTTCACAAATATCACTCAAAATACAGCCAAAATATCGAAAAATAACTTTTTCCTCATTTACTGTAAAAAGTAAACAAACATGAAACAGCATTTGAAGTTTGACGTAGATCCATAAGACAGAGAAATGTAAATAACCGTTGCCATTTATAAATAGTTTTCAGTGCTTCTACATATAAAATAATTGATTGATATCTATTATACGCTATTATTAAATGATAATGCACACTATGTGCACACTTGATATTTTGATTACAATTAAATATATTAATATAACCAATAAATTATTATTTTGGTTTGATAGCACCTATAGAGTATAAAATACGGAGTAATATTTTCAGCGACTCGCGAATAAGAAATTTTAAAACAAAACGTGACAACAGTTGAAGGTGCTCAGAATGTGACCTATTCAAATAATTTTGACTTCACAATTTTATGTAAATAACTGAGTCCATGTGTGTTTATACGTCCATGGTGGTAATAGATCTTCTATAGTAGAGAACAGCAACGAATCTAATGTTAACTTAAATTTTAATAATTGTACTTTCACTAACTGTACTTTTAATAAATAAATGTTTCGTTATGTTGAGTTTTTTTTTTTTTTTTTTTTTTCGAAAAATTATCCGCCGAATATCCCTCGGACATTGATGAATGCCTCATAATTTCATGACAAATTTCTCAAGCTCGTTGCTTGGTAACAGCACTCAGCCTTCGGCTTCGTGCTGTTACCAAGGAACGAGCTTTCGATTGTCATCAAATTATCTCGTCTGTTATCAATGTCCTAGGGATATTACTACTGATAAAGTTGACGACTATAGTAAGCCCTGTGGTCAGGTACTTTGGGCAGCACCAAATTCTTTTCACAATCATATGAAAAAATCATTAATCCGTCAGTCTTCTCTTTCAGATGGTCAAAAAAAGCTGTGGCGCGTCTTGAATGAAGTTCTTGTTTAATCTGCAATGCTTTCCTTTTATCAAGATCATTTTCGACTTTTATTCGTTCCTTTAGTTCAATACATGTTGAGCATACATCTGTTTTAGGACTTCCAAAGCCCACGTTAAAGAATTGGCTGTATAGGTTGTGAAAATGGCTCGACTTGACTTGGGTAGCATCATCAGCTTGCTGTTTATACATTTTGTATAACTTTGTAATATTTAGTTCTGCAGGAATGTACTGTCTTATAGCTGATTACCTCTACAATAATGAGATTCATCAGCTTTTAATGTCTTAAGAAACGTTTTTATTGCTTCCAATTTATCCTGATACAGGTTTGTTCTTCTGTCTCCACCTCTTTTCTCTTTTAAATTACCATCAACTTGGAAACGTGTTAAAACACCATTGATGCGGTTCTTGGTTATACCTAGCAATCCAAGAAAAGCATCTCGGCACACTTGGACTTCTTCTAAATTTCGTTTTCGAACAAAATAACAAACTGTTTTTTCCTTCGGTTTTGTTGCATGTCTAGGTCGCTGACGTTTTGGTTTATGAATTATACAAAACCGTGAAATAAACTGATCTTGTGTGAGTTTATCTACAGTTTAATAAAAATCTTCATGGAACTTTTTGATATCCTGCATCAAGAGTATTGAACATTTCCATTTTGCTGCTGAATGCTTACACTTTGGAAATGTTGGTAAACCTTAAGGCAAATGTCTACAACAAAACAAGAATGGCTTAGGTACCGTTAAAAAAGATAATTAAAACATGTGATTGTATTCTGCCAATCGCATTTAGGTAAAGCTTTCCGAAATACGTTTTTTTAAGTTTTGACTAATTGATACATAATGCAATTTTTGAGGTTAGTTTTTGCATTCTCGAAAAATTAATTCACACACCACGCACTTCATCGATATAATATTTACCTGTTAACTTTAGCTGTAGATCTTCTCCATTCTTCTCTCTGTACTTTCTTCTTTCTTCCAGAACCCAGTTACACCTTGGCTACATGCGCTTTTGAAACTACAATATTTAATTGCTATATTTTACGGTAAAATGCCTGTTTTGCAACGAATTTTCATTGTGGACTGATACAATAGGTTAAAATGAACACAATCCTGGTGTTAGTTTTCTTTCGACCAAAATGTGACATGTCCGGTTTTGCATCTTCACGCCTCATTTCTTTTAAATACAAATTTTAGTCCCCTACACATGGTTTCCCATGACAATTTTACAATTGTTTAAATTTCCCTTTTACAATTGTTTAAAAAATATGTACTCATTTTCTATTGTTTTTAAGGTCTCAGCTTTTCAATATGACATCAAATCGTTCTATATTTCCCGTATTGGATGAAGTCGATAAGGAAATTATCGATAATTTCGATGTAAACTTCGTTACCCTATCACCACCTCCTGGTTTTGAGGACGAAAAGGATGCTACGAATCCAGAAGATGTTACAATGATAAATACGGAAGCTCCGCAGATGCCCGTAGAGGAGAATCGAGAACCTAGGACCCCTGATATCTTAAGTGAGGAGAGAGCTATCAAGAATACTACACCGCCTAACAATCGGACTGGTTTTGGTTCGTTAGATGTCAGTATTAAGAAATTATCACATAGTACTCCACTCACCCAAAACAACATGTCTAGGCATACTTTAGGTATGGTATAAAAAGCAAATCTGTATTGAAAGTTATATTATTTTTTCGTTTAGTCCTAACAACGAAAGAATTAGAAACCTGAGAAATACTGGGTATTAAATCTGTAAATATAGTTCAGTATATTGTCCAATAAATATTTTGGTGTGGGAATAGGGATGATACCTATATAATCTCCCCCAAAACAGCAGTATGAATCCATAACAAAAAACCTAGTAAAACACAATATTTTTGTTTATCAGTATGGAATTTTATTTTGATTTGATCTTTATCATCATCATCATCATCATCTATCAACCTTTTGAATCCACTTTTGGACATAGATGTCCTCCATCCTCTTTCACTGTTATCTATCTTCTGCTTTCTGCATTCAATTTCCTGCTGTTTTTCGGAAGTCGTCCATCCATCTTGTTGGTAGTCTACCTAGGTGTCTCTAGATTTTTCTAGGTCTCCATTCTATGAGTTTTTTGGTCCACCCACTAGCAATTTAACGTTCTATATGGCCAGATATCTCCATTTGGCTTGTGTAATATTTTCTATGCCTTTGTATTGTAGTCCTTCCTCTCGTACTATCCTGTTTGATGTCATATACCTTCTTGTTCATCATGTTTTCGTTTTTTAATTTGTTTTTCAAGTTGTCTTGATAGTTTTCAGTTTGACTAAAGTAAAAATAGTAGAGGCATGTATTATGTCAAACGTCACGCTCTATGTCAAATGTCACGTTCTATGTCAAATGTCATATATTGTCACGTGTGGTCGCGCGTTCACACGTCACATAATATATGACACTTGATAGAAATTGGACGCGCGTCGACCTGTGACATAATATATGACAATTGACATAATACGTGACATTTGACGTACAACGTTACATAAAACGTGACAAAACCTGACGTAATACATGACATGTGACAAAACGTGACATTTGGGATAAAATAAATGGCGCCTCCACTAAACAATGGGTTCAAAGGTCAAAGTGTGGTAGATGTGATGAAGTGGCTTACTATCTATTAAAAATCAATTTGCTTTCTTATTCATCCATCTGAGCTGCGTCAAAAAATTGTCTACCAGTCTCGTTTGTTGGTATTTGCTGTGCCCGGATCTTTATTGAGGACATACTAATATTTTTCAACTGTATGGAGTCAACGAAGTCAATAATAATTGACTTCGTTGACTCCCCACAATGTATTTTCTGAATCAGTATTAATACTATTTATTCATTTTAGGTATTTCGCCAATTGTTCAGGAAAAGAGTTTGTTTGAAAAAGCCTATTCCAGTAACACTCTCACTTCTAGTGCAATACGGGATACGCCCAAAAAGAAGAACCTCCTCACCAGTCTTCCTAACCAGAAGAGCATTTTGAATTATGTTAGATCATCTCAAGAACCTAGTATGAACGTTGCTCCAAAGCAAAAACCTTGTCTAGCGTGTACTAGATTAAACAAAATCCAAACCCAGAGTATTTCTTTACTGACCAATAAGAAGTTAGCCACATACAGTGCTAAATTTAACGATTCCGTAACACATATGATCGTTACTTTGGACGAAAGCAAAAGGATAAAGGATTATACTATGAAGTTTGTGTCGGCAGTAGCATCTGGCATTTGGGTTCTTGGATTTGAATGGGTACAAGAATGTCTTAAAACCAACAGTATTGTTCCAGAGGTAATGTAAATAATATTTTTATTTAGTTTTATATAGTTTTACGATATTTAACATGAGAATAGTACATAAATAGGTAATTTAAACATTTTCTTAAGATAAGATCGTGTTTGTAAGATCGTTATGAAACCAAAGCTCCTTAAATTGAGTTGTTCAGACTTTTTTCAACGATTGTAGTCTATTTCCAAATCTGACAAAAAGCAACTAGAATCATTATTGTTAGTAGATATTTCGTGGACTTGGATTCACTATAAAGGGGACATCGCTATTTGTATATGTTTACTTTATTAGGCCACGTAATTTTTCGTTCAATCCTCGTAGATGCAGTGATTAATTGTTCTTAATTTATATCAAAAGCTCTACACTATCTTAGAAAGGCTCATAGTTGATTGATTGTGCCTGATAAAACAAATAGTGTGAAACAAAAGTCAAGTGTTAATGAAAACATTTTCTTTATTGTAAAACAGTTACGACTCGAAATAAGAATGCTAACATGGTATTTTTCGGAAATCTGAAATCATTACCATTAAAAACCTGACAGAAGACATTTAAAGAATTTGACAGATGAACTTGATGGCATTTGAAATATGACATTGGAAATGAGCTTTCAAATGAAGTATTGGTTTGCATAGGATGATAAGATAATTTTATAAAAAGCCTCCGTTCTCTTTTTTAATGACATGAATATACATGTATATTAAGTTACTGAAACAAAAAAACTAAGAATTGGTATTTCTTTTCAATTCGCGAACCGCTATTTTTCTACACGATACCAAACACGTGCAGAACTTGGTCCACTTACACTTTTGATAGCTGGAATTGAAATGAAATGCTGTTTATCTATATGGCTATTGTAGTAACATAACATCAAAGAATATAGACGCATATAAAAGGACATTGCAAATGGTCGATTTGGTCATGGTTATTATACTTCAAAACACTCCTGTAGAGGGCGACTGAATAAACTCAAACCGTGGCCATCGGCTTAAAACTTTATCATGAAAGATATAGATAGGGGGAAGTTGGAAGGAGTACGAACGAAGCTATTTAACTAATGCATTCAAAATTACTAAAATTTCGACGCCATTGATTTGCAAACTGTTTTTTCACAATAAAATCTTTATTTTTATTATATTAAATTGTTAAATTTTTAAACTTTTAAAACTTAAAAAAGTATGAAAATTTCAATATTAGTATTTTATTTGTTTTTCATTACATATGTAAATAAAATTTATTAACATTGAATTAAAATTAGGTTTGTTTCAACACAACGAAAAACCATCACGTTACTTTTTATTATTATATTTTTTTCTCTCCAAAAAATTATCTACAAAACTTTTTAAAAAATTTTCAATTTTAATTTTATCAAGACTTTTCATTAAACTTTTTACTAAGTTTTGAAATTTTCCATTTCGCCGAAACTTTTCGTCCATAATCTTTTAATAACAACTAAAAGCATTCCTGAATTATGTTTGAAATATTTGACAGTAACTTTTCATGAATATTCTCTGAAAAATTTCACGCTGTATGGGTACTATTTAATCTTCTTCTAAAATAACAACTAGTAAAATGTAATTTTCAGAATGAATAAATATTGTTGCAATTATTACAATATAGTATTTATTTGATCTATATTTAATTGAACATAAACTGATGACGTTAATTAAAATTTAAATAAATATTATGTATAAATTATGACATTTACTACTATAATATTCATAAATGATTTTTTATCCGTTATATGAATGAATATATGAATAAATTATTGGTCCTTTAATCTTACCCAAACAATATTCCATGTCTGCTTAATATCCTTCCCAATTTGTTTTACGAGAATTACGATAAGTTTCCTTGATAGATTCATTGCTGTTATTTCAAAATATGTCGATAGTCTGAACAAGACATACTATCTAAGACATGTCATTTTTTAACAGTTTGGTGTTTACATTGCCTTAGGTCAAATGGTACGCATTCGCATCACAGTCAATGATGAATTGCAATTCATTTTTCCTGCAATCTCTCCCTAGCTGTTCCAACTTCCTTGATGGTGGTTATTCAGGATCATCATATGGGAGGTATGCTGATCCTAGAACTATCTGATGGGCCCCTGATTGTCTTAAAGGATACCTTTCCTCGTCAATGGTATAGTCGTAGAGTTTGCGCGTCCTCCCGATCTTTCGATTGTTCAACAACCAGTCGTCTATCTTATCCAAGGGCGTGATTTTTCCTCTTTAGACGGGTCCTGATGGTTTCCCCATCAGCTTCTTTGTCGGGGACGCGGCTGAGGACCATGGGGCGATTGGGCATATTATTTGGATATTTAAGTTTGCTCCCTCCCACAGACCCTTAATAGTCCTCATCACTCAAGTAGTTCATTTTTTTGAATACTCGTGAGAACAGTTCACCCATAGGGCCCCTTCGCTAAACGATGTTTTATGGCGGAAGTTCATTCTGACCTAAATAGGAGCCTCATCAACTTCTTGTTCTAGTTTGTTAATGATCAGATCTGCTTGAGCCCGATCTAGTTGACTATCAGGATGGTGTCTGTGTGCTACCACCATTCTGGATACTTATGTCACGTTGCTTTATGACTTAGTCTGCTCGCTATAGCTCCTTGGTTTCTTAGCAACTCTATTGCGAGGTGAATGATGGTATTCACCCGAAGTCTCTATTTATTCTCGCTTATTGCCAATTTGGTTTTCTTGGGATTTGCTATGGAGTGTATCCCAGGAGCCATTTTTGTCTTTTTTCTCATCTTCATTTATTGAACTCCAGAGAAGCGTTTCTTGAGACTTACTTATTTATTTTTTAAATTTAGAAATCCGAAATTATAATTTATAATTTCGAATTTTCAAATTATAAAAAATAATTCTTTGGTGTGTGTGATAAAAAGCAATTTTAGCGTACTAACGGAATCAGGAATTGGTTTTATATCGAAACACCAAATTTTTTTGGACTTTCTCTCACAGTGGTTGACTTTTGATTAATTTTGTGTATATTTTATAAGAAGAGAGTTTTAATTATATTATTTGTAGATTTGTACACTTTTGAATTAAAGAATAAAAAATTCAAATCACAATATTTTTTCTAAAAAGATTCAGTTATTAAAGAATAAAATAATATTTTATTTTCCTCAAAAAAATATGGTGCATGAGTAGGAGTTGATCTCTAATTTTATAAAATGCAAAAATTTTATTCTGCATTCTATGGACACGACCACATGGTATTTACATAAGAAAATAACCAAAGTCACATTTGTTGCTCCAGTCTTTCATATTTATAAGCAGTAAGAGCGCTCCCTAGTGGTACGGTAAGGAACTAAAATCTTGTTTAAATTGTGTTACTTCAGCAGAGACTAAAAAAACACTAAAATGGCCTTCTATATGCGTCTTTATTCTTTGATAACATGCCTGCGACCTCTATATGAAACAACAAGAGGTCATGAGTTTGATGGCGAATTAGGTGAGCTGCGAATCTAAGCTTGCTGGCAGCTATTGAATCTATCCTTTTATCCGACAATACATACTACAGTTTACCCTTGCAAAACAACTCTTTACATGGAGTAAAGAGATTAAAATGAAAACAGACGCTTGCATTTCTCTCATTTCCTGCATTAGAAGTTTTTAAAATGATCTTATATAGTATTTTTGATGTTACTGTCTGTAAATTAAACAGTTCACACAATATGTATGGAATTTAATATTTTCTATTGAAAAGTTTGTCTTGCGGCAACTCAAGGTATAGTTTCAGCAACATTGTCCTTTATCAGCTTGAAGTAAGCATAAACACAATCTAAGAGACTAAAAGAATTGAAATTTACAATTTTTTTTCATTTATGCAGTGGATATGAGTAACTAGGAGTCATATAACTTGGATAGTTTCGTTGGACATCTGTATAATATACAAAAAAATCTGCGGTAATATTTTTACTAATCATGTTTAACTAATTTTATTAATTTTTTTAGGAAGCTTATGAAGCATTAGACGATTCTGGGGGTACAGGACCAAAAACAGCAAGATTGTCTAGAATAAAAACTCCTTTGTTTAAAGGATTTAAATTTTACTGCGTCAACCCTCTCTATTCCACATCAGTTGAAGAAATCGAGGTAAGTTGCAAGGAGCTCCTTCGGAAAAACAAAAACTGCAAATATTTCGTTTGAAACAACCACATTTATTTTTTGTTGTCCTTTTTAGGATGTCATTACAAAGCTTGGTGGTATAACAGTTAAAAATTTGGAAAACCTTCAAGAAAATGATGGAAGAATAGGACTTATTATTACAGAGGGTAGATCGACGCAAGATTTCGAAATTTATGAAAGTAAGTAATAAAGTGACAATTAAACTATTAAAATTAAAATTCGCAGAAGAGTTAGGTTAGTTATTACCATTTTCAACAGTTACACTCATAGGGTGCTGCATCTAACAATTTATTTACCTCAAATTCTGTTTATTCTGAAATTTCTTTCCCAATTGTTTTCTCAATTATTGCAATAGCAGAATTTCTATTAGCTATATTGCTCCAAATAGTATTAGGACTTCCTTTCATGTTCCAGCACATTTTATCTACAATTTTTGCCCCGAATAGGCCTTCCTCACTTTTTACCACCCACCAGTTGATTTTTTGTATTTCTCTCAGATAATTTTGGGTTTGTTTTGCTTTTTCTTTAATGTCCAGTACAAGCAAGCTATGTTGTTGGCTCACAGTCTCACAAACTATTACCTTACACTCCTTACATTCACGCATATAGAATTTTGTCTACTTTTGTATGTGATAAGTTGACTTTTTCTGTTCTGAAAGAATTTCTTAACAATCACTATATCTAATGCTGTTGCTAATTCCAACATATCATCATTTCTAGTTTTAAAGCAGGGTATTGCTACATATATTTTCTTGGATTGACCAACATTTACATTAAAATCACTACCTATTATGAATCTCTCTGCAGCAAACCCGATATCTCGTCACTCCGGACGTGATCCGATATCTCATCACTCATGTGTGTTCATTCCAGCTATTTTGCACCGCTAGAAAAAAGGTTAGAAAACCATACGTTTTTCGGATCTTTTGGTATCATTTCGTTATTTACTGTTGTATACTCTAGCATGCACATAAAGAATTTTTACTAATAGAATCAATTTGGCGTATTTTCGTTTCTAACAAACTTTTCTGACACTCCATTACCTTTTTGAAATTCCGAGAGCACAAATATCATATATGTGGTCATTCCAGCTATTTTGCACCGCTAGAAAAAATAATTTTTACTAATAGAATCAATTTGGCGTAGTTTCATTTCTAACAAACTTTTCCCACATTACGTTACCTTTCTGAAATTCCGAGACACATATTTCATATATGTGTTCATTCCAGCTATTTTGCACCCTGGATTACTATCCTCCGACCATTATTCCTAAATAAAATTGAGATTCATCGCTGAATGCCACAATGTCAGCCATTTCTATAAATTTACACTTAACAAGTTGTGTATTAATATTCATTTATATTTTATATTTTTTTACAGGATGGTTAGAAAAATACAAAATCGTAACAGTTGATATCGAATGGTTAAGTAGATCAGTGGGAAGATACAAAGTAATTAGCGTCCGGCCGTACATATGGTGTTCGGATGATTTACTTGATGATATTGGCTATCCCTCGTATCTCACCGAGCAAACAAACTCATTTTTAAGTTTACAGGATTAATTCGAAAATATATATTATGTATTTTGTTATAATTTGTTGGTTTATTTGATATATTTTTTCTATTTTCCTAAATAAAATAAGTATACACATGTGCGTCTGTTTCATTTATAACATCAATATAAAATAAAGAAAACATTCAAAATATCAAATACAAAAAGTTAATAAACAACCGTAGGCTATACAAAGATATAGATACCAAACAAAAAGAAGAGGAAAACATTATAGCATAAATAATTTTTAATAGAAGATAAAAATAATATTATAAATGTAAAAAAACATGTTTAATCATAAGGTGGCCCAACTTGAAGGGAGCTACAAAAATACTCTCACAAACACAATTTAATATAATTAACCCTCAACTGGTATGATGAGTCAATATTGACCCGACCAAATTTAGTTTTATAATTTAACTAATATTGCAAACGGCACTGGTCAATTATGAATTCTCTTATTTTGTACGGTACTCTCAGTGACCTCTGACTATTATGCGTGCGGGCGACTGTTTTTCGAAAACACAAGAATTGGGGCCCGACTTGACCCAGCATACCTTGAGTGACACTATTTTTGTTTGACTGTTTTACATAATGAACCACCGCAACAGACCTCTTACGAGCAAGAACTTGAAGAAGAGGCTTTAAACGCTTATATTAGTGACTATTCGTGTGATGAGAGTGAGTTAAGCGATCATGACAGTGATTCAATGTTAGAGGAATCAGAAAAGGAGCAAGCTGAAAATGAAATTGTTCAAGAAAAATCCGATACGGTTGAAAAAGATGAAAAGGAATAATTAGAGGTAGCAGGGCAGTATATTTTTTAAGAATAAATACAAATGGTCAAAAATACCTCCAGTCTGCGGGAATACTCTGAAAAAACACAAATCAGAACACGCATAACTGCGGTGATAGGTGATGCATACAGAAATAAACCAGCCGAACTAGTACAATCATGGAATTTGATATTTGACGATCATATGCTAGATATTATAATAGAACATACAAATGAAAGAATTACTGATTTGACAATGTCTTACGCTGATAGGGTCCTAAACTGTCAATTTACAAACCATGTAGAAAAAGCTGAAATGAAAGTCTTCATTGGTCTCATTTTACTGTCTGATTCTTTTAAATTAAATAATGAAGATGTAAGTTCGTTATGGGCAACAGACCTAATAGGTCGCGACATTTTTCACGCCACTATGACACTAAAACGTTTTTGTTTCTTATGATAATAGTATCACAAGAAATGAACGAATCCAGAATGGCGATAAACTTGCCGCTATTTCAGAAATATTTAACTTTATGATTGCCAACTGTCAATCAAATTATGCTTGTGGTCAGTTGATGACTATTGATAAAATGCTGGTGAGGTTTAGGGAAAAATTTCGATGTAAAATGTATATGCCGAATAAATATGGCATAAAAATAATGTGTGTGATGCTGACACATTATTTATTGAATGCGTTTATGTATGCTGGAAAAGATGATCGTCCTAATCCGAAAAAATTATCCATTCCCACACTTAACGTTTTACAACTTGTACAGCCTATTGTAAACAGTAATCGAACTATCACGGTAACTGAAAACTGGTTTTCATCAGTTGTATTGGCAAATGAATTTAAAAAATGTGGACATAATTTTCAAATCAAAATATTCCGAAAACGGTACACAGTATCGAGTTTTACCAAGAGTACCTTTTTCGTGTAAAATTGAATGATGTTTAAGTTTACTTGACATTTTGATTAATAATTATACTCTTAAAAAAGTTATATTGACTAATATTTAGTACGATCCGTGTAACTAGCGCCCTCTATGAGAATCAGATATAAAAACAAATTCATGGGATGTATCAGCTTCCAAAACATATTCGTATAAAATTTCATTACAATTTTGCCAGTAGTTTCGGCAAAATCGTAAAAAATGCGTAAATTTTTTTTTTCTTCAACGCTCTATATCTTGAAAACGGATGGCGTTACAAAAATGTTTTACTAAGCAAACCCCAATTATTTTTTAGTTTTTTACCAACCCTAAAGACGGGGTTACCTTTTTTTGAAACACCCTGTATGTATAAAGTAGATATATTTTCCAATTTCACAATAATGCAAAACCTTGGTGTTAAACCGGGAACACAGTTTAACATCAGCGGAAGATTTTATCTTCCACCAGAACGGAGAGGTTTGCCATACCTCAAAAAAGAGTTTAAAATGAATTGAAGTCCATGGCATACTACTTCTGGAATGGATTTCTAACAGTCCTGATTTGTCCCCGATAAAGAATTGTGGCGCGAAATGAAAAAAGCTTTGAGAAAACATCCTGCCAGGTGCGTAAACAAATTAAAGGAAAATTTGCAAGAAATATGGGATTCGTTTACATTAGAATTTTGTCAGTACTTGGTAAAAACTATGCCTCGAAGAATTGTGGATGTCATTAAAAATAAAGGGGATGTAACTCAGTGGTAAACTTTCACATTTTTTTGAATCGATTTTATGCATCGTATTTTACATCGATTATATGCATCGATTATCTGATGTTTATAGTTAAAAATGAAGATAATAAGAAAATAAGATAAGTCCAATAAAAATCATGGAGTGTTGGGCTGTATGACCACGAAAGGAGTTTTGTACAACTTTGCTCCTAAATTGTAAATAAATTAAACCGTTCGTAATCTGCACGACTTTATTCTATGAAATCGACTGAGAACCAGTCAAAATTGATCCTGGGAGCCATCGTTTGCACGCAGGCAGGGCCGTCCTAGGACATTACAAATAAAATTGCAGCGAACATGGATTAGTACAGTTTTTGCAAAAATATCGTAAAAAAACTATAGAATTTAGCTGTAGTTCTCTTTATAATAATGATTATTCATTAGTTTAGACCTTACTATTAGACATTCTTTTAATCATAACATTAAAACAATCTGTGTCGTGTTTGGTAAAACTCATTTTTAAACTACGTGCACTTTCCCATCCAATTTTTTCACCGAGTCTCTTGGCTCCAGGGGTTGTAAAAATAGCAGCAATCATTTTTGGGATGGGCTCTAAAGGCAGGTCACTATCGTCTATGGATTGTTTAACAGGTTTCCCATGAGATAATTGTCGAGTTAATTCTTCAGTTGCTTTCGCTAACGTCAATGCAATACCTCGTCTTCTATATTCTGGTAATATAGATAAGCAAAATAATTCTATGTAACTATCAACTTTGCAATGTTCAAAAATGCTGAGGAGATCATTCGCTTCTTCTACATATTTCAGAAAACTTTTGGTAGCTGCGTGTTTTGCTTTATCGATACAATGTGTGACTACGGGATGGGTATTGATCTATAAGAAAAGTTAGAGATTAGTATATGAATTGAGTCATTTTCGAGTCTAACTAAATAAAAGTCTATTCACATTACTTCCCACAAGTGAGTTTTGGTTAAAAAGTTAAAGAATAAACGTAGCCGAAATAGTGAAATATTAAAGGTAAATTCATTTTTATGAGGGTGAGCTAGCAATGCCAATATATTATTTGATTAATAACACATTCATTTAGGGGATAGTAGCCAAAATCGTACCGGCGCGGCGTCAATATTGTATCACCGCTGTATTAATCCTTTATGAGGAAGCCAGAGCGCTGTTTAGTGGAATTTGTTACTTCCCAGAGTTGAGTGTTGAAATTTTACAACGTTCACATTTGTCGATTTTGTTTTATCGAATTTTTTATGTTTCAGTATAGTTTTCTAGTTCCATACGTAAGGTTACAGAGTTACAGCATCTGTAAAGGTATGTGCAAACCATTTTGATTCATAAATACAAGAAAAGCATGTACTTAGGTGTATAAAACTGAGTTGTTTCTCTTTGCCGGACCATTTTTAGGTTAGCAATCGTAGTTTATTTACATAAAGTGCAAGTTTCCCATATTGTACCACGCCGAGATGCCTATATTTTACCGGTACAATTTTAGATACCATTGGATACTTATTTTTAAAAATAAATATATAACACACATCGTTCTTGTGTGTTTTAGATGCCCAAAGGAAAATATGGGACTTAGAATGTGGACGACATCAACCGGGCTCTTTAAACATTTCGTAATAGAGACATGGGATTAAATGAATGTTGAAGGCAGTATTGAGTCCCTAAGACTACTTGTCAAGGCAATGTCAAAGCAAATAATGAAACAAGATGATGAAAATTTATTAAATAAATCTTGCCCAAGTACTTTCGCTTTCTAAAACATCATCAGGGGCATTTAGTCAGTTTTAGGCTATCCAACAAGGGCAGAATGTAATAAACATAACATTAAACATATATGAGGCTTTAAAAGCTTTTGATTCTTGGGCAAGATTTAATTAATAAAATTGTGCTTGATATCTGCCTTTAATTTTATCAAAGTTCATTTATTCAAGCATTCAACCTTATATCAATTAGTATATGAGTTGAGTCGTTTTCGATTATAACTAAATAAAAATCTGTTCACATCACTTCCAACAAGTGAGCACTGTGGTTAAAAAGTTAAAGAGCAAACGTAGCCCAAAATATGAAATATTAAAGGTAAATTCATTTTTATGGGGGTGATGTAGCAATGCCAAAATATTACTTGAAATAACACATTCATTTAGGGGATAGGAGCCGAAATCTTACCGGCGTGGCATCAATATTGTATCACCGCTGTATTAATCCTTTATGAGGGAACCAGAGCGCTCTTTAGCCAGAGCGCTGTTTAGTGGAACTAGTTACTTGCCAGAGTTGAGTGTTGAAATTTTACAACGTTTACATTTGTCGATTTTGTTTTATCGAATTTTTTATGTTTCATTATAGTTTTCTAGTTCCATACGTAAGATTACAGCATCTGTAAAGGTATGTGCCAAACCACTTTGATTCATAAATACAAGAAAAGCATGTATTTAGTTGTATAAAACTGAGTTGTTTCTCTTTGCCGGACCATTTTTAGGTTAGCAATCGTAGTTTATTTACATAAAGTGCAAGTTTCCCATATTGTACTACGCCGAGTTGCCTATATTTTAACGGTACAATTTTAGATACCATTGGATACTTATTTTTAAAAATAAATAAATAACACACATCTTTCTTGTGTGTTTTAGATGCCCAAAG